TTTCAGATGTTCTGATTTAGTGGGTCTAGAGCGGGCTTCAGAAAGCTGCTGCAGACTGTAGCGTGTTTCATGCGACTTCTGTGCTGCAGCATAGTGCTGTATGTAGTGTCGAACACCCCAGGGGCACGCGTTGGAGCAGGTGGGTAATTCAGGCCAAGGCACATGACTGTCAGGCGGTACGGTTCACCAGCAGTGGGGCCAGCCAGTTTGTCTGACCCTGCTTTCTGTTTGGATGGACCCCCAAGGTCATGTGCTGTGTACACCAATATAACAAAACTTGCCTTCTCTGTTACAAGGGGCAGATGTGCAAGACCAGAATGCAAAGTACAGAGTCTGAATAGGCCGTCTTAGTAATCCAAACCTTTATTATGCTTAGATCACTTGTCATTCTGCTGTATATAGCTTTTACTTTCTTCTTAGGTAGGAGATTTAATTGCAGTCAAGAGGAAATGAACAGTCGAGGCTCATAAGCAGCCTCGCGTGGTGACATCCTGAGACATCGGTGTTAATGCTCTACGTGCACCTACTTTTTTGTATGTGAACTAATGTTTGTTTGTTTGTTCTTATTTTTTTTTCTCTCTGCAGAAGTAACAGTGTAATCCTTGCCGATGAAATGGGCCTAGGAAAGACCATCCAGACCATATCATTCCTCTCCTACCTGTTCCACCAACACCAGCTGTATGGCCCCTTTCTTATAGTCGTCCCTTTATCCACCCTCACCTCATGGCAGAGGGAGTTTGAAATCTGGGCACCAGAGATTAACGTAGTGGTTTACATAGGTGACCTGATGAGCAGAAATACGGTGTGTAAATAAAAGAATTGGGATAGAATCTGTGTTATAAATGTATTTTGGAAATTGACCTAAAGCCACTGTAGTTTTTAGTAAAATTATGATTCTGACACTGTGCTCTACCCCCGCCGTTGGGAGATTTACGTATCACAGAAATGCAACGCAGATATTTTTTTAAAGCACGTGCTTACTGTTAAAGAAAGGAAATGGCAATAGGAGTGGGAATCTTAGTTGGATTGCCGTGTTAAGTTTTTCCTCTCTGTCCTCTGTACTTCCAAGACCACTTTAGAAAGGATTATAAGGTGGAGTTAATACCTTACAGAATGTTAACATCACTTTGGCTGTTTGAGCAGAGAGCTGTTACTGAACGTGGTCGAGAGCTTTCTTCCGAGCCTTTTAAAATGTTGAGGTTGCATCACAGAAGACAGGAAAGGGAGAGGACAGCGAGCCGTTCCCGGGCTGCAGGAACGAGAATGATCTGTCTGTTATCACACTTAACTTTTGCATCAGGAATTTGGAACACAGGACTTAGGTTTATTTTTGATCGGCAGATCACTGCTTGATAATGATTAAGTTTTTGACCCATTTCCTGTTTGCCCCGAGAATGTTCTCCAGCAGCCGTTGTGGCTGCAGCATTGACCCTGAGGTAACACGCAGATGACCGTCGTAACCTCACTCCCAAAGTTTGCCACGAAATGTCTTCTATTATTATTTTCACGTCGATCTAGTATGGTGATGGTCTTTGGAAACAAATGACATCGTTCTGTTTATTGCATTCTGTTTTTTTGTAGCGGTTATGTAGTTCCATTTACAAAGTACAGTAATTTTCATTCGCTGAGAATGTCAAATCTTAGAAAACATAGCATTCCCACGTGTGATGTTAAATGAATGCTGGTAGTAAGCTGCACTTTTTTTCCTAAATGGGAAAAGGATTAAACACCCATTATGTGCCAGGCCCTGTGCCGGGTGCTTTATGTATACTACCTGTGAGCCTCATGGTAGTCTTCGAAGTAGATGGTGTTCTCTGCAACCCACTGATGAAGATACTGACTCGGAGTTTAACACTTGTCCCCAGGCCAGCTAGGATGTGGGGTTGGGACAGAGAGGTGTCTGGCCCCAGACTCTGTGCTTTCACCCCTGCATCTTAAAGTGTTTCTGGGGAAGTAATTATAATTAAGAGCAAGATAATCGTGAATCCTCAAACCTTTGAGAGATACATTCTAATTATATCATGCTAATTCAAATTTATTTTTATTAAATATTGTCATTGTCTAACCCAAACATTGGCAGATTTCATTACCCTAATTTTGAGTTTCTAAGCATGTTCTTAGCTTTATGAATCCCTTTTTTAACCTTTAAAAAAAAAAACCTTTCTAGATTATGTACAATGGCTTTAAGCATTATGTTCACTGGTGAAGACAGAGGGTGAACTCTGAAAAATCACGGAGTCAGGGACACTTTCTTTGCTGTCTCCAATACTCCTTTACTTTGTTCTGTCTTCCCACTTGGTGGAGATCACCTGCGTGTACCCCTAGTCCTGTTCCCCAGTTCCTTACTTGGCCACAGACTGCAGGAGCTGTGTCATGGGCCGTTGCGCTGGCCGGGTGTCCACTTACACCTCAGCATGAGTGTGTTAGTTTCCATGTTCTGTCACAGCAACATGATTTCACTCCCGTTAAAGTGTATTTTCATCGCATAAGCCTCCCTGTGCTTTTTCTTGAGGGACACATCTTTTTGCTCTGTGATCAGCGAAATTTCTGATTAAGCCAGAGGTTGGAAGTTGTTTTACTTATTAATAAAAGTATTGCCCTGCTCAAAGAATAATCAAATATATTTCCTTAAGATAATTCTCATTCTGCGAGATCCATAGATAAATTCAAGTCACCAAGGTTTAATTACCAGTTAAATCTGTGTTGTTGTTTTTTTTTAATGAAATGTGTTGGTTTTAGGGGTTGGGGGGAGCACCAGTTTATTTGAATTCTAGCAGTAAAGTTTTTGCTGCCCAGCGATAAGAGCTTTTAATTCTAACTCTACTACTCTATAATATGGTTGCTTAGGTCAATTTAGAATGTATAAGGTGTTCGTTAAATTCTAATCAGATTTATTTTTTATTCGGCATGTTTTAGTTGCATCTGTCACAAGACTTGCTAGTGATATAGAAAGGTAAAAAATAGAAATCGTATCTTATTAATTGCCATTTTCTCTTACAGATACGGGAATATGAATGGATTCATTCTCAGACCAAAAGGTTGAAGTTCAATGCACTTATAACAACATATGAGATTCTCTTGAAAGACAAGGTGTGTAACCGGTAGCTTAAAGGCTAACTTTTGTAGTGTGACTTGTTGAAATGGTGGGGTCTGTACCCCACACTGGCCATGTTATTTTTGTTGTTGTTTATTTCTTTAGAACAAGCAAACGAACAAACAAAAAATCTACAAAGAATATTAAGGTTATAGATTAAAAAAAAACAACAGAACCTTACAGTTGAAGGGGATTGTAGGTAGCTTTGTCCAGTTAAACTAAACAGGACAGAAGGTTGTTGAGTCCAGTACCTTCCTGAGATGCTAGTCAGTTACTGGACACTAGGCTTGAGCACCATCTCAGGCATTTGCCAGCATACCGTTAAGGCATTTTCTCCAGGGCAGGTGATGTGGATGGCCTCTGTGAGAAAAGAGAAAAATGAAGCTCTTTAAATTCTCTCCTTTCTCCAGTTACTAAGAAATGGATGTGGCAGGTGATCCCGCTGGTGATAATAAGTATGAACACGTTCAGTTTGCTGGCTCTTGGTGTTTTTATGTTTCAAGGGTGGGGTGGAGAACAGGCAGAGAAGAACTGTAATTAAGGCGAGACCGCAAAGTCACGAGTTTTTTTGTTTTTGTGTTGTTTTTGCCCAGCATGCCAATTTTTGTATTCTTGCTTTGGGGCACGCAGCAATACCTGGCATAAGAGACCCCCTGCTCCCATACCTTTTAGATGAGGACGTGCTCTTTTGAGTAGACACCAATCTGGCAACCAACAGCATAAACAGAAGAGTCTTAATACACTTGAAGTCAGTGAAGGGTAAATGTTTCTGTGATGGTATTTGTACAGAGATAATAAACACTTGAAAGTACTTTTGGGTTCTCTTCTGACCTGGTGGCTCGTTCTGTTTTGTTTTTACTTTAGACTGTGCTGGGCAGTATTAACTGGGCGTTTCTGGGAGTGGATGAAGCCCATCGTTTGAAGAATGATGACTCTTTGTTGTATAAAACTCTGATTGATTTCAAGTCCAACCATAGGCTCCTGATTACGGGGACCCCTCTTCAGAACTCCCTCAAAGAGCTCTGGTCCTTGCTGCACTTTATTATGCCGGAGAAGTAAGCTCCTTCCTGTGTGTTTCACAACTTGCTAGACTGTCTGAAACGCCGTTGCTGTTTAACTCTTTAAATAGACTTTAGGGAAAACTGAGGGCATGATTTGGGGAAAGCAAAGCATTAACTGAGGCAGGAAGAAAAGTGGTAAAATGTTCCAAGGTAAATGGGAGAAGGCACAGAAGACAGCCTGTTCAGGAGGAAACCCATTTATCTACCAAACATTTGAATCAGTTACTGCTTTGGGGAAATAACTAGTAAACAGGACATGTCAGACCTTCGCACTATTCTTAGAAGACAGTGTAATTGAAATGAAGTACACAAGGTACACAATCTGACACGTGTTAGAAATATCTGAAATCCAAAGTTTTGATGACAAGTGTCAACTTTAGGTCTTACTCAACTCTTTAACTTACTGACAAATTGTGGAATGTCTTTATTGAAAAGATTTTTATGAGAGAGATGATATGCACATTTTCATGATACTTAACAGTATCCAGTGGTGGTTCAATGCTTCTTAAAATGGAATCACATCGGTGACCCCGAGTTGGAAGACCCTGCTCAGCCTGGCCCCTGGCCGTGTTGGCTCGAGCCACTGTCTGCAGCGCTCACTGTGCTTCAGGCACCCTGGCCACGTCTTCATGTCCCCCAGCATGCGATGCCACTGTTCGTCTGCAGTGTGTTTCTCCTCCTCATCGCCTGGCCAGTCACTTCCTGATCTTCTGTCATGACCCCCTCCTTTTACAGGTCTTCTCAGACCATCTCACCCAAAGCAGCCTATTCGACATGCTTGTCCCTGCCCTGTGTTATTTTCTTTTTTCTCCTTTTTTTCCCCCCTCATTCATCTCCTGTCACTAAATTCTGCGTTCAAACGTAGCAGAGATCTTGTTTGTGTATCGATGGTCTGCATTGTTCACAATAACACTGGGCACGCAGTAAACAGTTCAGAGTTGTGAAATCGACAGATAAATGCTCCACAAATATATAAATATATATATTTTTAAATCAGAAGAGATTTGAATGTCTCCTATGTGCTGTAAACTGATCAAGGCATTTGGGATAGCCGAGTGAATAACATAGAAATAGTCCCTTCCCCCATGTGCTATTAATTTTTTTAAACAACCTATTGAAATATATAACCATGAAATATGCCATTATAAGTTCACAATATTTTATTCACCCAAAATGTTCTTTCTTGCCTGTTTATACTTAATCTCTGCTTCTTCCTCTATTAGGCAATCACTAATCAGCTTTCTGGAATCCTAATAAGTAGTCTTCTGTTTTTGACCTCTTTCACTTGGCATAATAGCTTTGAGAATCATCTATGTCATAGTTTATCAAGTAATATTTTATTGTATTCCTATCGAGTCACCAGTTAATGGACATTTGGATAGCATTAGTTTTGGGCTGTTCTGTCTTTATGTGGACGTGAGTTTTATTTGTCTTGGTTAGATGCTTAGGAGTGGAATTGCTGGGTTGTTTGGAAAGTATATTGTAAATGTCTTAAGAAACTACCAGGCTGTTTTCCAAAGGGACTGTACCATTTTACATTTCTCCCAGAAATGTTTGAATTTGCTCATTTTTCTGTATCATCTTGGTGTATTGTCAGTCTTTTGGACTCTGGGCACTCTGGTGGGTGCGTAGTAGTATCTCATTGTGGTTTTGACTTGGCATTAATGACCAATAATGTTGAACATCTTTTTACATGTTCATTAGCTATTTGTATATCTTTGTTCAAATCTTTTGCCCATTTTAAAATTGGATTGTTTTATGAGTTGAAGAGATTTTTAATTTTTTAAAAACATATTCTAGATCCAAATGATTTCTTAGCATATCATTTACAAATATTTTGTCCCGATGTGACTTGTGTTTTCATTTCTTAATGTTGTCTTTTGAAGAAGAAAAGCTTTTTAATTTGATGAAATATAATTTATCATTTTTTGAATAGATTGTTCTTTAGTACCATAAAAAAATAAGACATTTGCTTAACTTAGGGTCATATAGAGCCTTCCTTTTTTATTTTCTAGAAGTTTTAGTTCTTACATTTAGGTCAGTGTGCCATTTTGACTTTGTGTTTATAGTGTAAGTGTGAGGGCCTAAGTTCTTTTTTTTTGCAGAGAGATTTTGGAAACTGTCCCAGTGTCTTTTTTTGTTTGTTTTTCGTTTTGGTACCTTTGTTGAAAATCAGTTGAGAGCTTAAATGTTAAGGGTCTATATCTGGATTCTCAGTTCTTTTCTATTGAAACATAGTTCTGTCCTTAAGCCAATGCCACACTGTCTTGTACTATTAAAAATAGTAAAGTACTATAGTAGCTTTGTACTATTTAAAAATGAGAAAGTGTAAATTCCAGTTTTGTTCTTTTTCAGAATTATTTTTGCTATTCTACGTCCTTTGTATTTCCATATACATGTTAGGAACAGCTTATAAATGAAAAGAAAATAATCTGAAATTTTGATAGACATTATGTTGATTTTATATATTAATTTAGGGAGAATTAACAAGATGAAGCCTTCTCAGCCATAATGATGGAAAGTTTTCTCCATTTATTTAGATCTTCTGTAATTTTTCTCAGTAGTGTTTAGTTTTATTAGTGTGTCAATCTTGTACTTTTGTCAAATTTTGAGTGGAGTTTTTTAATCTAATTTTCACAGTATAGTAGTTAGTTTTGTATATTGATCTTATATCTTGTAAACTTGCAAAAATTACTTCCACTGTTTGTTGTTGCTGTTTGTTTATTTCTTCAAGTAAAGGCAGTGTAACTTTTCTCCAGTGTGAATGAGTGGCTTTTATTTCTTGCCTTATACATACTGGCTAGAACCTTCTTGGTGAATAGAAATGGCAGGAGTGTAGGAGGTTAGCCATAGAATTTTTGTAGGTAACCCTTTATCAGGCTGAGAAAGTTTTCTTCTATCCTAGTTTTTGAGAGTTTTTATAATGAAAGAGGGTTAGATTTTGTCACATGCTGTTTTCTGTGTTGAGATGACCATATGGTTTTTGTTCTTTATTCTACCAGTGTGGTTGTTACATTAGTTACGTTTTAGATACTAAGCCAGCCTTTCATTCCTGGGATAAATCTGACTTAGTCATGATGTAAAATTCTTAGTTATGTGTTGCTGGGTTCAGTTTGCTAATATTTGTTAAAGATTTTTGCGTCTCTGCTGTGTGTGTGTGTGCGTGTGTGTGCGCACACGCGCACACACCCACACACCCACATACGCTATCTGCCTGGTATTGATACATGAGTTAGAGAGTGTTCTCTCCTCCATTTTCCAAAAGAACTTGTTAAGATTCGTGTTATTTCTTCTTTAAATATTTGATAGGATTCACCAGTGTAGCTGTGTGGGCTTTATTTTTTCCTTTGTGGGAAATTTTTAATTACTAATTCAGTTTTTAGTTACCGATCGATTCAGATTTTTGTTTCTTCTTGATTTAGTTTTGTTAATTTATGTCTTTCTAAAATTTTGTCCATTCTTTCTAAGTTTTCTAACTTTGTTGGCATGAAGTTATAGTATCTCTTCATAATCCCTTTTAATTTTTGAAGGGTCAGTAGTTGACCTAAATTTTTTGATTATGATAATGTGTGCTTTTTTGTCTCTTTTACTTGGTCATTTTGGGTAAAGGTTTAACAGTTTGAGGGATGTTAACTAAAGCTGATGATGAAATGCTTGGCCATTTATGAGTTCAGAGGTGGCAGCAGACTCTATTGATGCCATTGTGCCTGGCGGCAGTGCTAGCATTTGCTGTCTCTTGACTTTTCATCTTATCAGAGCATACGCTTTGAGTCTTACATGGCTCTGGGTGATGTTGAGGTGCTCGAGTTTGTTCTGAGACTCGACTGGCCTCAGCAGAGCTGAGCTACCAGGTGCCAGGAGCAGCTGTGGAACAGGGGCTCACCTTCCCGTTTAATGGCATGCTCTCTCTCACCTGCCGAGCTGCAATCTGCATGTGAAACCGGGCTAATTCGTCCATGCGCTTCGTGGACATTCTGCTGGAAGACAAAGCATGTCTTTTTAATTCTCATGAAATAAATTTCCTTCATTTTGAAAGAAACTTGCTATAATGTCCCATTCTGGATTTCTTCCATAAATTTTTGGTGAACCAAAGATGATTGAATTAAGGTTTAAACATGGTTAACTTTAACCTATAGAGTTCAGGCAGAATTACTATGGGTGACAAGTTTTTAAATTCGTTAATAAAATTTGTCTTCCTAAGTTCTGTTAGTATTGAGTTTGTATCACTTGTATTTGCTTTTCTCGTTTGGGGCCTATAGAGTCTTGTGTACTGTCATTATAATCTATTAACTTTTTAATCTATGAACAATAAAGATTATTGATGGAAATTATATAACTTTTATCCATGAGTAGTGACAGCTATAATACTGCCACTAATAATTCTTTCACCTCTGAATTTTATTTTTCCAAGAAGTTGCAGCTTATTAAAGGATAGTTTATGATTAATTTTTCTGCACTATATCAATAACACGTTCATGTGCATACTAATTGCATTATATGCTGAAATATTTTGTGAGCTCTAGATCCAGTCTCAGAATTAGAAACCTACTGTTATCCATGTGGACTGATGGAATTAATTAGTTGGTTTTCCCTTTCATTTTTGTCTTCCCCTCTCGTATTTAAGAGCTAGTGATTTATTAAATTTTATCTATATAGGGAAGATCCATTTTTTTTTTTTAACAGATGTTTTTCTGTTTAGTTCCTTTAAAAGACATTTTTGTTGGAAAAATGCTTTTTTCTCCTCTGTAACTAAGTAACACTACGCTACTTCATCTCTAGGTTTGAGTTCTGGGAAGATTTCGAGGAAGACCATGGGAAAGGGAGAGAGAATGGCTACCAGAGTCTCCATAAGGTGCTAGAGCCTTTTCTTCTCCGGAGAGTGAAAAAAGACGTGGAGAAGTCTCTTCCTGCCAAAGTGGAGCAGATCCTTAGGGTGGAGATGTCGGCCCTTCAGAAGCAGTATTACAAGTACGTTACTGGCCCAGCTCGGTCCGGATGTGATTAGGACCGGTACCACGAAGCCAGGAGATAGACAGTTGACAGATAAACCGTTTTCTTTTCCCCGCTCAGTGAAGTCTCAATACAGATTTAAATGGCAATTTATTATGGTCAGAGGAAGTTTTATTATTCTCGCTTTTTTATTTGGGTGAGAATTTAATGCGCACACTACTTTCCATTATGTGGGTAATCTGAGGTATATCCTTAGTGCTAACCCCCCACGAATAAGCAGGCATGTTTCACACATTTATATATAGTTCATCTCTGCCATGAATTCGTCTCTTAAGGTTCTGTGACGTGCCAGGCATTCTGCCGGACGTTGGGAACATGAAGATGAACAGAACGTGTTCCTGCCAGAGCCTCGTTGCTTAGTTGGGAAGACAGACTAGAGACAAATAATTAAAACAGAATGATGTTTAATGACTGAGGCATGTGCAGAGGCTGTGCCGGTTCGGAAGGAGGGGCACCCAGCTCTGCACTGGAGGCTGAAGACTCCTTTCTGACACTCCAGGGGGCACAGGCAGCCCCTGCACTTGGTTTAGGTTATTACGTTAGAGGCAAAATGTGGTGGGTGTGGAACAGAGGGTAGCACGTATCGTGCTTGTCATAGGCTTTAGTTTTGATGATTTAAATTTGGGTCTGGAATAATGGGAATTAATTGTATCATCATAAAAATTAGTCTTTTAAAGTTAGAGGTCTAATAATCTTAGACTGTTTCCTGTTTGTCCTTAATTAACGTATGATAATAAAAGCGAGTTTAATTTTCAAAAATTGCTATCTGACACTTTTGCCTAACACTACTTTGACTTAAAAAAAAATTTTTATTAGAACTCACAACTACATACAAAAGTAGAATAGTGTGTAGTCACGTACCCATAACCCAGCTTCAACAGTTATCAACTCATGGCCAGTCTTAGTTCATCCAAATTTCCTTTTGCATCCCCCATATCATTTGAAACATATTCTAGGTACAGATCATAAATATTCCTATATATCTTTTAAGAGATACAGACTCTTTTAAGAGTTAAGCAAACCCCCTCCCCCAAATAAAATATTAAAAAATAATAACCCGAGCTCGTAGATACAGAGAACAAATTGGTGCTTGCCACCATCAGGAGGTAGAGGGCAAGAGAGATGGGTGAAGAGGGTCAAAAGGTACAAACTTAAGAGTTATAAATAGTTACAAGAATGCGATGTACAGCATGGTGACTGTAGCTAATAATACTATATCGCATATTTGAGAGTTGTTAAGAGAGTAGATATTAAAAGCCTTCATCACAAGTAAAAGAAATTGTGTATGGTGAGGGATGGTAACTAGACTTATTGCAATCATTTCACAATATGTACTAATATCGAATTCTTATGTTGTACACCTGAAACCAATGTTATGTCAGTTATACTTCAGGTAAAATAAAGTTAAGCATAGTATCATGCTAACATGGTAACACGCTTTTAAAAAATCAATAATTTCTTAACATATTTATAACGTCCAGTGAGTGATTACATTTTCTTGGTTTTCAAAAACACACACCCACCTCTCCTTGTTTGCGTTGGGGTCTAAGTAAACTCCATACGTTATGATTGGTAGGCGTGTCTCTCCCATGTCTTTGTTAATTCTTTGAGTGAAGAAACTCGAGTCTGTGTTCTGTAGATTTTTCTCAGCCTGGATTTTGCTGCTTCCACCTCTGTGGCATCATTGACTGTTTTACTCTGAACACCTTGTTTCATGCGCATTCACAGATGAGTGTAGAGGGCCGATTAGACTCAGATTCAGTGTGAGTACTTCACAGAACACCCCCAGCTCTCTGTTTCTTTAACTCTAATAACAGTACCACCCTCATTTGCAGATGGATTCTGACCAGGAATTACAAGGCTCTTGCCAAAGGAACAAGAGGCAGCACATCTGGTTTCCTTAATATTGTGATGGAACTCAAAAAATGCTGCAACCATTGTTACCTGATCAAGCCCCCCGAAGAAAACGACAGGGAGAACGGACAGGAGGTTCTTCTGGTGCGTTCTTAGCCTTGTCTGTACTTACTTCCCAAGACAGTTTAGTTTCTGTAGATGGTTTTCATCAGAATGCTCCTTTTCCTCCTCGATGACTCTTGAAGCATCAAGAGGCTTTAAAACTAGATGAGGAAGGTTACATCCCTAGGAAAAATCTGGAAGGTGTAGTGTCACAGATAACAGGTAAAGAGCATTTCAGGAATGTCTTCTCAGCCAGATTGCAGAAGGCTTCAGAAATCTTACAGACGTTTTAAGAAATATGAACTCTCAGATTAAGGGCAGATAGAAGTTTGCTTTTGCACACGATGATTGGAATGTCTTTTCGATCTTTAGTCCCTGATCAGGAGCAGTGGGAAGCTGATTCTATTAGATAAACTGTTGACAAGACTGCGAGACAGGGGGAACAGAGTCCTTATCTTCTCTCAGATGGTGAGAATGCTGGACATCCTGGCCGAGTACCTGACTATCAAGCACTATCCTTTCCAGGTGAGGATGCTGTTACTGGGGTCTCTTCAGCAGCTGTCTTAAAATATAGTTTACTGCTGTGGTTATTATAAAAGAAATAGCACACTCCAAAAAGACGATTATCCCCCGAGCCCCGTGAGCTTTCCGATCTAGCTCATTATTTGATACCACATCAAATAAGAATGCATTGTTTTTCTTCTTAGGGAATAAGTAGTCTGGAGTCCACTCAGGTTTATCATGCCTACTGTTTTCTATTAATGGGAATGTTAAATGCGAACGTTTTGGTTTTCTGATATCAAATATGTAAACCTGCCATTTAAGCTTACCTTTGGGTTAAGGCTCTGAGTAGATTTGGTCGTTGGAAGGAGAAAAGGGGTCCTCACGTGTGATTCTCCTTGTGTTCAGGTGGCTCTGGGTCTGGTAAGCAGAGCTGTGAGCTGGGGAGATAGATGCGGGTCCTTCCTTGACCGCCCCTAGCCAGCTGACATTCTCTCTGGGGCCAGTTTTGCCTTCTGTAAAATGAGGTATTTTGTTCATCTTAAGTGGTGATTATGAGGGGAAGAAATAGGAAAATGATTTTAAAGAGCAAGAAACGCTTTATAGGTACAGCATACAAGTAATTAACCGTTACTATTTATTTTACATACTCAGTTTCTCTGTGCTAATTTTTTTTGGCTCAGAGCTGACATGCACTCTAATAAAATAATTGATCGCACCAGTAAATGCCAGAAGCTCTCTCGAAGATTTGTTTTGGTTACTTGAACACTTTGCTCTGATTTTAGAGTGCAATTTTTGGAAAAGCTGGGTTATATGATTAACTTAATTTTAACATTTTCTGTGTTATGGCAAAATGTTTTCCAAACAAAACGATGAAAGTGATTTTTTGGTTTGTGTAGCACTGAATAACTAGGCAGCATGTAGCCACATGAGCTCAGAGGCATCATTTTTCTGCAGGATTAATTATTAGGTGACCAGGGGTGTAGTGTTTCCTTGTCTCTTCAGTACTCAGTGGTGAACAAGCAAACAAAGCCTCTAAGCACAGCTTGGGTTGCCCTCTTCCTCCTTATAGGCCCTGGCAGCCGTTCTGATCCTTGGATAAACCCAAATAGCCCTCGAATCAGAAGCTTCTGACCTTGAGTTTGAAACCGGAGAGCTTGAGACAAGGCCGTGTGCTGCCTAAGCACAGCCCCTTGACAGCACATTGCCAGTGCATTCCTGGTATTTTTACCCAGTGGGTGTTGGACCGATGAAGGTTGAAGTCTGGTGTTTCTATTCTGAGTGTAGCTGATCTTCCTACCTTATGATTTTCTCACGATTTATTTTTACAGCGTCTGGATGGTTCCATCAAGGGAGAAATCCGAAAACAGGCACTGGACCACTTCAATGCAGATGGGTCTGAGGTACACCACGCATGACTTTCTTATTGGGGCAGCTTGGGCTCTGTATCAAGTGGATAGCTTAATGGATTCTGTTTTGGAAATAATTCACAGTGTAATTCTCCCATCTCCAGAAGGCAGTGAGAAATCACTCATGTAAAAGATGCCTCTTAAGTTGGTCGTCACTCCAAAAAAGCACACGCATGCTTGTTTATCTCCCTTGGTGTGCATTAATGAGAGTCGTCCTGCTCTCTACCCTCTTTTCTCTGGTGACTTCCAGGTATCATTTCTGGGCCTAGGAGAGGCCAGGCAAGATGGAGGGCTGGCCCATAGGCTTAGTTTTAACATGTATGTTACATCAGAGGGTTCTGATCTCTAATTTTTTGGTGTCTTCGAGTCTTGATAAAGTATATTTGCCATGTGTCAGATTTGTCGGACCCTGGCGTGATGTGGCTTAAAGTTCTTGTTTTAGCTTAACAGCAACATTTAGTTAAGTGTCCAGCTTGAATGTTCCATTACAGGGTATTTCATTTTTTAAGACACACAGGGAAGAGCCACTCCGGACAAGTTAGAAACCATGGTAACATCGCAGTTTGTGCATATCGAACTCTTAAGTACTAGAGGATTAGAGAGAAGTGAGGAGAAGAGGGTTGGTGAAGGTAGCGCTGTAGGAATGTGTAGAGATGCAGAAGTTCACCTGGACCAGTTCTGGAGAGAACGTTAGAGCTGAGGTCTGCTGGGCCGCTGTTTCGTATCGATAGAACAGATTTGACTTTCTGCTCTCCAAAGAGCTTGACACACTAAATGTCTGTCTCAACAGTGTGCCTTCTGTCTTTAGAATTGCACATAGGCTGTAGTATTCTGGATTCTTCTTCATCCTACAATTTTGGTTCTCCTTAAGGAGCTTTGGGCACTAATCTCTTCAGAACTGAGCCCTGACTAGTTAAGAAGAGGAATCGAATTACCAAAAACGTTGATAATCATCTAATTCCCATTCCTCCTCTCTCCTCCTCCCTGTTTCCTCAACTGTAAAATTACGATAATTCTAATCCCTGCTTCATAACACTGCTGTAAAGATTAAACGCAGTGATCAGCATATACCACTGAGCACATTGCCTGGCACATAGTAAGCGCTCAATAAATGTGAGCTATTTTTATTTCTCAGTATTTGTTGAAATTGGTTTCGAGTTCTTTGTAGTTTAAAAATAGTATGAGTCGAATGTTTCATATTGCCCTTTCTCAGAAAAAAACTGAAGTTGCTTTTGTAATAGTTCTCAATTGATGGCCCTGCCCCATGGCTATGTATAGAATACATATTTTCTATCATTTTCTGCAAACCTGGCTCTTCTAAAATTAATTTAAAAAAATGAAGTACTTTGTTATTGGGGAAAGTGTTATACGTACATTTTCAAAAAATTGAGAAGATGGTGAAGAATATAAAGAAAAAAATTTGTACAAAACTCCCGTCCTGGACACAACTTGCTGTTCACATTATTTGGATGTGTTTCTCTTTATTTTGGGTGAAACCATTTGTTTCTTTATATGTTTACCTTGCTGGGACCATGCTGCATATAGGTTTTTGTCACCTTTATTTCAAAATTATACTCTGAGCATTTTTCCCATGTCATGAAATGTTTAAAATTTTTTCATTTCTAATATTTTATTATGCCTGTGCCATTATCTGTTTACTCATTTTGTTATTGGATGGTTAGGTAAGGAAGGGGATATGAGCTTTTTAAAAAGATTTTTGATACATTTTGCTAAGTTTTCATTCTCCAAACAATTTATATTCATACTGTTTAAGTATGAATGTTTCCATTTTTACCTCATCCTGAGCTGCACTGAGTTTCATAATTTTTAACCTTTGTCAAGATAATAGACACAAATAACATCTTATTATAGCTCATGTTATCTTTGATAAAGAATGACATTAAAAATTGCTCATATGACCATTGAAACCCCAGATAAATGTAACACAGAACCACTGGTTTTTGAGTGCCAGTTCTGTGCCTGAATGGGGTCAGATCAAATTCCTTGAAAATAGAAATCTGGCTTTTTTATGGCTCATACAGTTTATTCTCTGCCTCCTGCCCACGTTTTTCTGGACGCTCAGGTGCGGGCAGGCGTCGCATGCCTGCCCAGCCTCTGCGGTCACCGATGTGGAAATTGGACCGTGTTGGTGTCCGGGGCTCTCACACACGTGGCTGCTCAGCCACACCTGCCCTGGCGCACTCTGTGCAACTCTGTGCTGATCGAGGCCCCTTCGCTTCTCAGCACTTGCCGTGGTCTGCGAGTGCAGTGCTGCTTGTCCCTCACCAACCCAGCGAATGGACGGACGTCACGTACACAGTTTTCTTGTTTGTCCTGACTGCCTCACGTGGCATCTTCCGCCTTTCCCCAGAAACTCAGTATCTAGACAATTTGTGGAAATGATCCCCTTGATAAATAAGTTTGTCCAGTTTTTGTTAATGCTTGTTATAGCAGTTTTAGCCAGGCGAGAACACTAATTCTTTTACTCCTGTTGCCTTATTAGATCCTACTTGACTGCTTAGTTCATTGCACTGACTCTTACCTCTTAATCAAATAAAAATTCACTCTGCCATCAAGTCCCTGACATTCTTTTAGCCTCCATAAAGTTTGTCCATCATATCTCACTTTTCTTCACACCTGCAGGGGTTTCCAGGTGTAAGGGCTTATTGGACTGTGAGACTGTTTCTGAGAAGGCCACTGCATAAAGTAGTATATTGCATTGTGTACAGGACTTCTGTTTCCTGCTCTCGACAAGGGCTGGTGGCCTGGGAATCAATTTGGCTTCAGCGGACACAGTCGTCATCTTCGACTCTGACTGGAACCCCCAGAACGACTTGCAGGCACAAGCCCGAGCCCATAGAATTGGTCAGAAGAAACAGGTCAGTGGCAAGAGGCTTCTGGCTGTGGCTTAGGGAAGAGGGAGAGGGGTTATTCAGGCCTTTGAGGATGTTCGCAAAATGTTTTCTTTCCTGTTTTGCTTTCATCACCCCCAGAGTAGATGTCTTGTCTGTTAACTAATACAGAGAAGCCATCTTTGGGGCTAAGACAAGCCTATTATGGAACTATTCTGTTGCACTGTTTGAAAAGTACATCACCGGTGACCTTCTGGTTTACCCTAAGAAAGGGCTGTGATAAACAGACTCAGAACTGAGGTTTTCTGTTTTAATATGGGAAAGTCGTTGAATATTCCAACATTGTTCAAGGTGGTCTATTTTTATTGCGCATGACTAATCTTAGCCCTGAGATGTGTTGGAAAAGCACATGCTTGTTTCCTTCATATGTCAGTCTCACATTCAGCTTAAGTTTTGGGTAACTCTTAAGTTTCATTAGTGAAATGATTTTAGCAAGATTTTTATCATTAGAACAAGGCTGTAATAACAATTCCTTAAAGGCAGCTTTATTTAAGAGTGCAATCTGTTGGCAGCTAATAAAAATATCTGCTTAAGCTGTCTGCTTGGATGGGTGGCTTGTAGTCGTGTGTGATAGTAGAGAACAGATCTTTTTTTATTTCCCTTCTTGATTTTAGACGAAGGTACCTTTATTTCTGTGTGTGATCATGCATAAACATAACATTTGCTTTTCCCACAGGTAAATATTTACCGCTTGGTTACAAAGGGGACCGTGGAGGAAGAGATCATAGAACGGGCCAAAAAGAAGATGGTATTGGACCATCTGGTGATTCAGCGCATGGACACTACTGGCCGGACAGTCCTGGAAAACAACTCGGGAAGGTCCAAGTGCGTGACAGGAAGATGGGAGCGGGTGGCAGAGTCAAATTGATTTTACATCAGACTCGATCTAACTCTTCTATTAGGATTTTGTACAACAGACGTTAGTCCTTTATCTGAGAAAGGCCGAGCCAAGACCACAAGATGGCTTTTCCATTTTATTATGTTTCCCCTGTTTCTTCTTCCTCTTTTTTGCCTCTTAGTCCTCTGCTCATGTGCTCTTTCCTTCCTACCGCATCTTGCCTTTTGCTTTTGGCTCTGCATGTGGCGTATGGCACAGCAGCAGCAGGGCAGCTGTGTGCTCTCCATTAGGCTTTCATTTTGGCACAATGTTGCCTTGAACTTTTTAGCAGTGAGTAGATTGAATTCACAGCTATTTTGTTACTATTGGTAAAATGTTTGTATGGAGATTGATATTTGTCCTATTTAAACAGAAGGGTACAGAAGGAAAGTAGTCAGGTTCCAGTTGGCTTTATCTGGAAGCACAACTGTCTCTCTCAGAGTTTACACATTTTGACCAAATTGTTGAGTGTCTTCTATGGCAGTCCTGCAGCTTGTATCACAGGTGAAATGAAATGAGCCCTTCCTTAGTACAGTATTTTCCGATAACTTTCCCTTACAGAGGAAGAAACCCAGGTGGAAGAAGCTGGGTTCTTTCTCCTTAGGACCAGAGGTGAGGAAGTTGAAAAATTCTTAGTGAATCGAGAGACAAAGAGAACTCTCTTCTTTCACGTCACTAACTGCATTTCTTGCCTAACCGTGTAGTAGGTGAGCCAATAATCCATTTCCTAGTCTTTCACTAGGTTAGGTTCACCACCATAGACTCATTCTGTAGATTAAAAAGAAGCGAAATATGTGAGAGATCATTTTTCTTGTGACAGCATTTATATTTTTACCAGCAGTTTGACCCATTTATAGAGGGATGGGCATGTAGTAGAGCCACATAGAGGTTACTTGACATTTATTTCTAAGAGATGACATTTTACTTTTACAGTTCAAATCCTTTTAACAAAGAAGAGCTGACAGCCATTTTGAAATTTGGAGCAGAGGATCTCTTCAAAGAAATGGAAGGGGAGGAATCAGAGCCTCAGGTGATTGACGAAAAATTATTTTTCTTGACAAGTATCTGTGAAAGTCTACATTTTTCTGGAAGCAGATTCCGAGTCTACGTTACAGGCTTTCAGTAATTACTTGAAAGATGTAGTTTTTGTTTGATTGTTTTTCCTTATAGAGCTCGAAGCTTTTACTGAATTGAGCAGGAAGGAATGAGTAAAGCATATGAGGGTTCTGTCCTCAGTCGTCTTTACTGCAGTTTTATTTTTCATGGTCTCTGAAGTTTCACTCTATCATTTGTAAAAATAGTAGTTTGAAACATTAGATGTAAAGGATATAAAGCGGAGATCGTACAAGAAAATAAAAAATACAGCATCAGAAGAGAGAGCTGGCGTATCCTCACCGTCCATCTTCAGTACGTGCTGACCATGTTGTTGTTTTACTGTGTTCGTGTTGCTGTTCTTCTTTTAGGAGATGGATATAGATGAGATTTTGCGCTTGGCCGAAACCAGAGAGAACGAAGTGTCAACAAGTGCGACAGACGAGCTTCTGTCACAATTTAAGGTGTGGACATCATCGTGGGAGGGAGTCCTTAGTAGTGGCCCAATTAACCAGTCGTCACCAGTCATAACTCATGCCCGTTAGCACTTTCTGATGCAAGGCATTTTGCCTCTCCCTTTGCCGAAGTTGACTCACGTCCTGAATATCATTCTGTAGTGTTCCGTGTGCGTGTAGACTCTGCAGCCTTCCTCCTGCAGGGCGGAGGAGGAGAAGCATGTGCAGAGGGCCGAGGATGTGCCGTCAGTGGGATGGGTGGAGACCTAGCTGCGGCGGAGCTCTGGGGGTGCAGAGGGGTTGTGGGAGAGACAGAATAGACGACTAAGAGGTCGAAGGTATAAACACAGAAGGTGATGAGAAGTTCTTGATGACTTGGTGGGATCTTTTAAGGGTGATTATGGGATGGTCAGTGGTATCTGATATAACAAAATTAAATGAGATTAGAAATAAATGCAGAAGCCGGACACCAGATCAATAGGAGGTGGCAGCATTGAACATTGACGTTATTAAAAAGCCAGCGAAGAGTGGAGTGAAGGTCATTTATGGGATAAAAGGGTCAGGTAAGGCAAGGAATTTTAAAGATGTTACCATGTTTCCAGGTTGAGGAAAGAACTTGAGAATCGGGAAATACTGAAGGTTCTAAGGAAAGAAGGAAAATATGTTGGCACATTACCCCAGAGGAGACTGGACGGGGTGTGATCGAAAGCAGAGATGGAGCATTGGCCTTTGAAGGAAGAAAAAAGTATGCTTTAGGGACCAGGAGGGGAGACGAGATGTGTGAGTTTCTGCTGATGACCTTAGTTAGCAGCAAAGTGAGTGAGGTGTTTGCTGGGAGGTGGAAAGGATTTGGGATGGCCTTGGCTGGGGCTGGGAGTTGTACGGGGAACTCGATTAGGGAGTAGAGCTGAATTCGGAAGACAGCCTTCACATTGGAGCCAGTCAGCTGGTTGTGGGGCCTTCTTCAGCAGGCCTTGCGGTCAGAGAGGTTAGCTCAGTTTGGGGATCCCAGGGTGGGAGATGGCTTGGTAGGCATGGGAGAATCAGCGTGGCAGATTCGAGTGAGAACGTGGTTGAAGAGATTGACGTGGGTCGGCTCTGTGCAGGTTAGAGAAGCAGGGAGACCTGGGGGTTACAGTGATGGTTTGGAGTGGCAGACCCATTAGGACCGAGGGCGGAGCGAGGGAAGTGGTCGGAAGGAAGCAGTGTTGTGTGACGAGGTCCAAGGTTGGCCACAGGTAGAAGTTGTCTCTGAAAATCGGAATGAGTTGAGTAGACCAGAGAGCTGTAGGATCACTTAATGTGTCTGAGGATGATAAAGGTGAATTACTAGTGTTTCAGCTGGTTTCAACTTCTGTGAGCGCTGTCTCCTCCTCAGACAGAAGCCGTCTTCATGATGCTGTCTTGGTTGGACAGTTGTGTGAGTGTTTCGGTGTAAATTTCTACGTACTACAGGTTGACCAGAAGTCACAGTACTGGGTACTCTTGTCTTTCTAAAGCCCTTTTGGCCATTATGCTTAAGCAGCTGGTCTTCAGTAACTCTTACTATGCTTCAAGCAGTGTTCGCAATGTTTTACATGTGTTAATTCTAAGCCCTTACCACAGTAGATGTTATTTTCATTTACAGATGAGGAAACTGAGGCACAGAGAGGTTAAGTAGATGTCCTAAGGTGGTGTCATGATTACATCCTAGGCAGCGTCTGGCCCTTAACCACTACGCCATTCCCTGGAAGAGTTAATTTCCAGCTGCGGGAACCACTAACATATGTACATGTAGTGTTGATATTTGTATTAATTGATAATCATTTTCATATGGCTGTTTTAAGAGTCAGACCTGAAGTAATTACAAACAGCTTAATTTAAGAGGTTGGTCAGATGATTCATTTTAGAGAATGGAGAAATGTTAAATTTTCAGTCTCCGGAATTACACATTTTATTTCATCGTGGAATTTTAAAAATCTGATTGTGAGGATTATGATATCCATGTTGGATGCTGGAGTTAATTTCAGTCAGAAGTCTGAAAGTTCGGACTTCACTGTCAGCTCCAACTGACTTGGAGGAGTCAGACGTCCAAAGCCCTTTTGTACTTCATTACATTCGTCAAGTGTAGGTGGGAAGGGACAGAGAGAACATAGAGCCTTGGCCTGGGGCCTGCCCACCGGTGCTCAGAGGTTGGCCGGGGCTGGTGGGCGTTTCTGTGGGGCCATAGTCTCTAAGGCTGAAATGCCAGCCCGTAGGCGGTTTTCTCTCTGGGGTATGTATTATCTTACTGCAAGTAGACATATAAAATATTTGATAAAAATAGCATTTTCGTTCAAGTTTGTTAGAAATTTTGCATTTTATGTTCTCATTTTTATTCCTAAGGCTGAAGTACGTTTTGAGCAGTGAACTTATCACGTACTTTTAGCTTCTACACTTTTGATAAAAAAAGAACAAGGGAACTAGTTGGCTAGATGTTAGCCAGTGCTTTGAGTTAGGCGTTATTCCAGATGAGCTCTATTCAGTAGCCATTTGTAATTTCTAGAACTGTAAGTTCATAATGGATTAGTATAGGTTTTCTGCGTTTTGTAATCTAAATCTAAAATTTTTAATTAGTATCATGAAAATACACGTGGTGTCATGGTTACATTCTAGGCAGCGTCTGGCCCTTAACCACTATGCCATTGTATGATTTAAACAACAAATCTTCCAACAAGACTTAAGAGAATTGATATTTTTATATCTATCTCTGTACTTTTCAGTACAATTTCTAATGAACTTGAGGGTTTGCAACATTGATTTGGGGAATGAGGAGGTTAGTAGACAGTCTGTGCTTTGGTTATGTAATATCACAGGCGTCCTTATTATTCATGGCTCCTCACTTAGCTTAGAAACGCTGAGTTGCCGTTTTAGTGGGTGGCGTTTGGGAGATGGGGACACATCAGTTGTCCATTCGCTTTAAGGTCGCCAACTTCGCGACAATGGAAGACGAAGAGGAGCTGGAAGAGCGCCCTCACAAGGACTGGGATGAGATCATCCCTGAGGAGCAGAGGAAGCGCGTGGAGGAGGAGGAGCGGCAGAAGGAGCTGGAAGAGATTTACATGCTGCCTCGAATTCGCAGCTCCACCAAAAAGGTGACCGAGCGAGATGCGATGCGCACGCCCTCCTTATGCTCTAAGGGCCGCGGGGGCGCTCATCGTTCGGAGAGGGCCCCTGACCTGGCGGGCTCAGGGCAGGGTTCTGGGCAGCCTCGGTCAGGAGCGTGTGACAACGCCCCCGGCTCATGAGGCGTCTCCTCTTTGCACGATGGCTCTTTGCAAGATGGCCGAACAGAATTCGAGTTTGACTGAAGTTTGCGTTTTGCCGTTGTGGTTAGAACCAGTGATCCTAACAGTTTGTTTCTAATTGGCAAAGCTCTTTTAACCTTTAAGTGTTTGTTTACAGTACTTGGTATAAGTACTTACAAGATATTATGTTACAGAGCACCAGCACAGGCGCACTGTCTAATTTGATTTTTGCAACATCGAAGTAGGTAGTTACTACCCAGTTTGTTGGAGATAAGAGACTTGGCTTTGTGCAAGATGTTAGCTGTTATTTACTGTGCACTCACTGTGTGCCAGGCATAAGTCAGTGTGTTTACTCTGACTCATTCTCATTCTTATGAAAGCCCTGAGTGTAGGTGCTGTTATTTCCATTTTGTAAATGGAAAACAAAGGCACAAAGGGGTGAAGTGACTTGCCCAAGGAAGTCAGCGTGCACCTACAACTTAAAGATGTTTATTCCCGTGTACTTATTACATTACATTCTATCTCTGGAAGTGAGAATGTCCCAATGGAAGCGTGTCTCCCTCCGTTATGTGACATCTGCCTCCCTATTTGTCAGAGAAAACTTGTCTGCTCTGATGGGAAATTCTGAATACCAGAGAGTTAAGATGCACTGGTCTTCGTCCTTAGACCACTTGGACCTGGCACTTAACTACACTGTGACTTTGCCCTTTTAGGCTCAGACAAATGACAGTGACTCTGATACGGAGTCTAAGAGGCAGGCGCAGAGATCCTCTGCCTCAGAGAGCGAGACGGAGGACTCTGACGACGACAAGAAGCCGAAGCGCAGAGGGCGCCCGCGGAGTGTGCGGAAGGACCTGGTGGAGGGCTTCACTGACGCGGAGATCCGCAGGTGGGTGGAGGCTCCGCCCTCACTCCGGCTCTTGGACCCCCGGCCCTGAAGGCAGGGAGGGCAGAGGCCCTCACCTGCCAGAAAGGCCAGAGAGACCGAGTGGTACGCCATCCCAGAAATGCTTCTCCATCGCAGCGTTATTTTGAAGCAAATCCCAAATGTCATGATTTCAGATGTAAAATATTTCTATGTATTCCAGAAGGGGAAATGCAGAGTTGAGGAATAACTGGGTTCACTTTCACAAATAACACTTTCTTAATCTTCATATCCGCTCTGTTCCTTTCATATTGTGTCTTAGTTTTTGTCACACTCATTCCTATTTTCTTCTGTCACCATCCCCTCTATTTCCAATCCTCCCCCCCATAGTATCTCTCCTTACACTGTTACCTAACCAGATTATTATAGTGATTCGGCATGTCATGTCACAGTGAGACCTTGATGTATTGTGACATCTTGGTTTTTATTGACAATGCTAGTGGTTAGCTCATGTAAGGAAGGGCGCAGATGACACATGGACTGGCTTTTGGCATGGTTCAGGGTGAAGACTTGTTAGAAGGATGCGTTGGATTTTTGGTGGGAGATAAGGTTGGGCAGAAGGAGTCAGCAGAGTTTCCAAAACAGTTTTACTCAAGAAGCTTTAAATTATGTATTTATTATACTTTGTTTCATTCCCAGAAATATTTGAGGCAGTCCTAAAAAGCATATAGTTGTATTATTGACCAGAAGATAATGAAAAATACTGCAGTATGGAATTGAAAGTAACAGTAGTGGACTGAATGGACCCATTAACTATTTGGGGGCTTTATCACTCGTTGTGGTGATTGAATCATTTCATAAACTTGTACCTTGTAAAATGGGTGATATTAGAATTAAGTCACAGTTCTCAATTATGTCCCTGGGCAGTTTCCTGATCAGTCACTGGGAATAAAGTTGATCTTTAGTTTGAATAGATCTCAGCACTTATTATTTTAAATTGGTCATTTTCAAAGGCATTTAATGTTTATTCATTTAGTGTGTATCATAAGGATTGACCCAGTCTGTTTTTGACAGTTTACTTGGCTCATATTTTATCATAGGATGTGTTTGCGTTAACATAGCTAAAGTCTCTGTTTTCTCTTGTGTTTCTTGATCATCATCTTAGGTTCATCAAGGCGTATAAGAAGTTTGGTCTCCCCCTTGAACGGTAAGCTTAGTAATAATTCCTTATCTGTCTTTCACTTTCGTTACATTGCAGTTTCTTTGGTACTATGTCCGTTTAAGGTCTGGCACCTTTTGGTGGCCTACTTCTTAGACATTGGTGTATTCAAATCAATGTGACTTAGACATCAGCAAACATAACTGTGGAAGAAACTATACTTCGCTTCTAGAACAACCCTGCAGTGAATGAAAGTAGGCTGGAGGAAGGAAAAGGGGCACGAGGAAAGCAAAGTGGTTTAAAACAGGCTTCTGGCCCTTCCCTGCTGCTGTTATCCAACAGTCAGTTAACAAAGGGAGCAGAGCCCCTTCCCTTCAGTCTTTTGAAATTGTTATGCACTGTTCAAGGCTCAATTCTTTATGATGAAAAACAGGTAATCAGCCTTCATTGTGACAGGGTTTTTGTTGGAAACTCGTAATAATCGATTTAGGAATGTAGAGAAAAGTGTTTGGAGGAGCAAGCTTATATAAGGCCAGGTGGTATCTCATGGGATGTAAGAAAAGTGGGCACGGGTCCTTGAAGTGTCCCCATGTTTGTCTGTCCTCAGGCTGGAGTGCATAGCACGCGATGCCGAACTAGTCGATAAGTCTGTGGCTGACCTGAAGCGCTTGGGGGAGTTGATTCACAACAGCTGCGTGTCTGCAATGCAGGAGTATGAGGAGCAGCTCAAAGAAACCGCCAGCGAGGGTAAGTCACTTGGATGTCGGCCCTTCTCTGGGACCTGGAATGAGGTTTCTGCTGCTAACGGCTTTTCTTAGACGAGCAGGCGCATCTCCCATGCATCACTGCTTCTCCGAGATGTGCATTCTGACCGGCCTATAATTATGCACAGAGAGCCTTGTAAGATCCCAGAGGTTTGCTTGCAACCGAGGTCGATTTGCAGAAGGTGTAGAGTGAAGAACGAGATGAGTAGTTTCTTGATGTGGCTATAGAAAGTTTAAGTGGCTTTGGATATTGTGAAGACCTGAGTGGGCAAAGCGGAGTGGACGTGTCTGTGTTTTGGCAGTAAACTAGGACATTACAGACCTCAGCTATTGGTAATTAATTACCTGGGATCCACACAGCATATTGTTTTGTTGTGACAGACATAAAGAGTTTCGAGAATTAATTGGAATGAAGTACCGCAAACGTTTTTGTGACAGTGAGATTGCCATGGCATCGGGGTGTGTGGTAATTGGATTTGACCTGCAGTGTTTTCTCTTCCACACCAGAAATGTTTCTGCCTGTCCTGTAAGAAGTGGCTGTTGGGAGGCTGACATCCCATTGGTTAAGGGACACCCTCGAGGTTGAGTCTCACAGAGCTGAGGCGCTGTCATTATGGTGCACTGGACTGTGGTCTGTCCGTGCCATTTCCCCTGTTTCACCACTCTTCATCGTGCTGGAGAGCACTCACAGGAGGCTGTGTCAGCCGGGGTCAAGTGTTCTGGCTTGGGCAGCGGCCAGTTTACCTGGTGTCTTGGTTCTGTCATTTCTGAGCTGCAAGACCTGAGACAGGTGGCCTCTCAACGGTCTCATTCGGAAAATGGAGTAACAGTACCGGCCTCGAAGGGTTAGGATGATTACTTCAGTCCATGGGTGTAAAGTGCTTAGCATAGGCTCCGGCTTGCAGTGTGAGCTGTCATCCTTAAGTGAAGGAGTATTCGTTCCTTGGGATTTTCTTTTTAAGGATATTATTGAAGTAACAATTTAGAAGTACTTAAAATATCGTAAAAATTTTAGATGTATTTTTTGTAAACAAATAATTGAGTGTTTTAGACAATGGTCCAAAAATGTGCTTTCATAGCACCCAGATTTCATCCAAAAGTAAACCTTTTCTCATTGTTTTGTGTATTACATTCACATGGCTCAGAAATGAAAGACAGGTTTCCCTATTTTTTGTCTCTTTCTGGAAATTTAGGAATGCTTATATACAAAAAAAGAGTAGATAACGTTTTTTCTTTCTCCTTTTAATAGAAACACTGCAGCATGCACACCGATCTGCCTTTCTCTTTCCATCTCACAGCGTCCTTTGGAGATATTTTCTTATAAAAAGCCCTTCCCTCTCACACCCCTCTGTCTCATGCACCTTGGCATTGAGGATCTGGCCGATTGCTTCCTCCCGCCATTGTTTAACTGGGATTTAGCATATTCAGAGTCCAGGCTGACATTCCAATTCAAATGTAAGATTATTAATATCTCAAGTTGAAAAGTTATATTCCTAAAAATGTTAACATGATCATGTCTTTGCCTTTTCCTGTATTATGCTCATTTCTAAATAGCAAAGCCAGTCTTACTGTTAACAGTAAGGCTTCTCGATGCAGAGTTTGATTTCATTGCAATTCTTTTTGTCCTGAGAATACATCCCACTAGCAATGTGCAGTCAAAATATTGTGTTTTAAAATTATGCGAAGTTGTTTTTTTTCCTGTGTGGTTATGCCACCAACTTAAGATATGATATCGTTTAGCCTCTTTTGTTTATATTTATTTTCAATTTTAGAGATTCCTTGTCTCATTTTGATTTAACTTTTTATTTATTATTATTAATTATGTAAAACATTGGCAAACTCCATTGAGGTCGTTTGGAAAATCTTGCTTTTATCCCAGTTCCCCAGTCCTGTCTGTTTCATTCCTCTCCTATAGGTACCCAGTATTCTTTCCTACAGAAGATAACATGCCATGTGTTCTGTTCTACACCTACTTATTTTCACATACGGGGATCTCTCCATATTATTATGTAGAGATGTTACGATGTAGAGATCATCCCTCCTTCTTTTTACAATTGCACAATATTCCACCACGTGTGAATTCATACTTTATCTCCCCCTAGTAATGAATATGTGGGTCGTTTTCAGTCTTTTGCCATTATAAATAAAATCACAATGAGTAACAGTCTAACAAATATGCTATTTCCTATCTTGCCAGCACCTCTGGGGTAGATTTCTAGAAGTGGGATAGCTGGGTCTTGGGGAAAATGTACATGTAATTTGGTTAGATGTTGCCAAACTCTCCCCCGTAAGTCTAATAGCACTCACGTTGCCACCAGCAGTGTATGTACTGTTTTACAAGCCTCACAAACAGTGCGTTATCAAACATTCAGATTTTTGCCAGACTCTGGTAGGTGAGAAATGGCATCTCATTTTTTTTTTAAACGAGCAAGGTTGTGCATCTTTTCTGAGGGCCGTTAGTGGACTCTCTATTCATAATATTTTGCCCATTTTCTCTTGAGTTGTTGGTCTTAATTTTGAGGGCCTCCTTTTTTGATAAAAGTTGCCAGTTTACTCTAGTTTGTGATTTGTCTCCTTATTTTGCTTATGGTAGTTTATGCAGAAAATTAAAAAAAAATTTTTTATAGTCAAGTTTATGATGTTTTACCCTATTGAGTTTAGGTTTTGAGTCAGTTAAAAATATTTTCTCTACCTCCAGGATATAAAGAAATTAACTATGATTTTTTCACCCCCTTGTTCCTATGTGATTTTATTTACTTTTGCATCTCTGATCCACCTGGAGTTTTTTCTGGTGTACCAGTTTTATTTTTTCTGTATGGCAACTGTATGTCTCAACACCATTCATTAAAAATGGTTCCTCTTTTTTCCACCACCTGATTTTTTTTAAAGAGCTCCATAATCAGTTATGGATATGCAATATTAGTGGTATGGGTATGCAATATTGTTATGGGTATACACTATGAGTGTCTTGTTATTGGGCATTAAGCTTTTCAGTCCTTTGTTTTATGGCGTTGTGATAAATAACCCTGTATGTATGCAGCTTTGCACCATTTCCTCCCACCAGCATTGAATGAAAGTGTCTGTTTTCTCTTAGTCTTATCGACATAATATTTTCAATTTTTTTTATTTTTCTCAACCTCATAGGTTAAAAATGGGATGTGTATATATTTAATTTGCATTCCTGTTATCATAAGAAGGTCGAGTGTTTTTTTGTATGTTTAGGAACCACTTGAGTTTTATTCTCTGCAAATCGTGTCTCTATCCTTTGCCCATTTTTCTACTGCAGTCCAGGAGACTGAGAACCCGTAAAGGTTAATAAGTAGAGCGAGAGGGGGCAGTTTGTGCAGATTTGGAACTAAATTCCAGATTTCTGATTTTCAGACCAGGGCCTTTCCTATTTTACCACATTCTGTCCCCGCTCTCTTCAGTGTTGTTGGGAATGGGAGTTGGAAGTGAAGTTCTAGTGGATTACGTAAGAATCCCTAAGTAATTGTCTGTAATTGTAGTGCCATCTCATCAACTTGCATGTTTTGAAAAAAAAAGAAGTCTTTTCTCAGGCTCTGAGCTGTCCTTTCTCTCACAAAGTGTCATTGTCATTGATTTCGACTTAGACCCTTTGGTTAGAGTTGACTGAATTTCATTTTTACTTCGGGGATTATTTTAATTCGAAACTAGGGCTAGTGTAAACCTTCCATGACTCTTTTTGTTCATCATTTCAAATGTGTGAGGTATGGACTTGATCTCATACTTTGTTAGTAGAGAAGACCATCTTTAAAACACTTAAAACAGTTAATGGGATAGTTAGAAAAATAAAAGGAAAAAACTTTACTGATGTTATTTTTTAAGAATCTTTTGTTAATTTTATTAATTTTAGAACCAAATATATGTGCGTGTGTGTGTGTGTGTGTATTAAAGGCAATACAATTAAAAACACTAGCTGATTCAAAACTTCTAAATCTTAAAAAACTGAATTGTTTAGAGGTTATTTTACAAATAATTTTTTTGCCTTATAGGTTAAAAATTTGAATAACTCATGTATTTCGAGGGCATGAGCCTTGATTTGCTGGTATCTGTTCAATCTGTGGAACTTTAATAGATTCTTGTTTAACTAATGTGAAATTAATTGGTGCTTTTTTAGGGAAAGGACCAGGGAAAAAGAGAGGGCCAACAATCAAGATTTCTGGGGTTCAGGTTAATGTGAAATCCATCATACAGCATGAAGAAGAGTTTGAAATGCTGCATAAATCTATCCCTGTGGACCCTGAAGAAAAAAAAAAGTGAGTGTATTGCTTTGCCCACGCGTGGGTGGCTGTGCCACGAGAAAACAAACTTGACGTTTCATCATCTTGGGTTTAACATATCACAGTACTGTGTCTCTGTTCATTTGTGTTCATTGCCAAATCGGAAAGGCCTCTCCTCTGAAGTTCTTGCGTTTTCGAAATCCCCTTAGGTACTGCTTAACCTGTCGTGTCAAAGCTGCACATTTCGATGTCGAGTGGGGAGTGGAAGATGATTCTCGCCTCCTGCTGGGAATTCATGAACATGGCTATGGGAACTGGGAGCTAATTAAAACGGACCCAGAGCTTAAGTTAACTGACAAAGTAAGTGACTCGAACACTGGAGATTTCTAGATGTGTCGTGTAATGTTTTTGCATCGATTACTTATTTTTAACTATTTCTGGTGGGGGAGTGGGTTATCACGTTGGAAATTAGTACAATAATAAATTCCTGGGATTTCTTTGTCCTTGGAAATGTACCTTCTTTAGTGGACCGTGGCACCGTTTCTAGATGAAGATAGTAGCCAGGTAAACTTTCGGGGAAATTCTAGGAGAAATCTTGATCTGATTTTTGTGATAGGTCAGTCTCATTGCACCAAATACCAGGGTGAGGTTATTGATAATAAAAGCATCTCTCGGCCTTAGTTGTTGGCCCTTTGTTTAAAACTGTCTTTTAAACAATCATGTTTCAGTTCCGCATATAGAGAAAGAATGAACTACACCTTGGTGTTTTCTGTAATGGAATTAAACATTGGCTTTCCTTCTCCCACAAAATCGAGCCTCCCACCCTATCCGTCGCAAATCGGGCTACCAGGTAGTAAGGCCGTGCTCAGAGCTGTAAGCAGGGAAAGCTGACTGGCTCAGTTTCAGTAGGATGTGCTCCATGTTGTGCTCCTGGCAGGGCTTTTCCTGGCACGTCAAACAATGCTCATCCCATGTGCGATGCTCTAAGGGTGACAGCACCCTGCCTTAAGCACTGAGACCAAATCCAGTCTGGCCTGAGAGGTCCAACCGTGGTAGCAGGGACGGATCCTGTCCCGGCATAGCTCAGTGCTCTCCGGCAATGCTCTAAGAAGCATTTTCAATCTAAAACGAAGCTTTAACCTAGCTCCAGGGATTCCCTGCTCCTGGAAGGAGGAAATCCACGACGGCTGGGATGCTCTAGCAGATGAAGCCAACAAGCCCCTCCTACCTGAGTTGTTCTACCCTGTTAACAGCACAGGTAGGAGCCAGTGGGAGAGCTGGATTTCTCCATCCCATTTTGTAAAACGAGAACGGCTCATGAGGGATTGTCAGTGACTGGGAGCCATGGACATGAGATAGGATCTGAGGCTGTATCTGTGTTTTGGGTGGTTGGGGAGGGAAAGGACTGCTCAGCTCTTCGTCGTCTCTGTTTATCCTGATCCACTAACCAGGATGTGGGTGGTGGCGGGTGCTTCTCTTCCTTTCCTGTTGAAGATTCTGCCCGTGGAGACAGATAAAAAGCCCCAGGGGAAGCAGCTGCAGACCAGAGCAGACTACTTGCTGAAGCTGCTCAGGAAGAGTCTGGAGAAGAAGGGGGCCGTGTCGGGCGGGGAAGAGGTGAGTGTGGCTGCCAGCCGGACGTCCCCAGGCGGCTGAGACTCCAGGCCTTCAGAGTCAGGGAGGGGAAGTGATGCCGCTCAGGGCACTGCACAAAATGGAACCTCCTCGTAGTCAGGTGTTGCTTTTGCGATTCCAGCAGTGGTGGTTGGTTGGTAATAATAGAAATGCTCATTTAATTACTGACCTAACCAAGTTGGCAACTTTCTTACAAAGCCGTTCTCCTCAGATGTTGTCTCACAATAGCCCTGGTCTCTCCCGGTGCCACTCTGGACTACTGTAATAATGGGTCCAGGGATAAAGCGGACAGTTGGAGTCCACAGTTAATTCAGAAATGGGACTTCAGTTATGATGAATTTCTTGCTTAGTGAAAGATTGCAACCGAGTTGCTAATGAACTCATCTGAGCTTTATCTCCTTTCATTTCCCCAACTTTTCATTTCAGTTCAGACCTAGAAGTGGGAATCATGTTTAAAAGATAAAACAAGTTAACATCCAGTGCTAGCAGCAGCCTTTGTCCATTTCCTTAAGTGCTCTTGGAGCTGTGCCGTTTGTATTAAATTCTCTGTGCTATAAACAAAACATTTTAGAAGAAAAAATTATCCTGATCCCATACTATGTCCTTTTTCATGTAATAGTATCATAAGTAGTGTCATTCTTCAGAGAATATGTGTGTTGAGTGTGTACTGTAAAGTAGGCTCTGGAGAGACCGATTAACCATGTTTATACTTGCATTAGGTTACTGTATCATATTTGATTGTGTACATACACATCTCTTCCTTGATTTTCAGTGTAGCTGGGTTTTTTTTTTTTTTTTTTAAACACCTACAGCACCTGGTCTTCCTAGGTGGTCTCCCGTCCAAATACTAACCAGGCCCAACCTTGCTTAGCTTCCGAGATCAGCTGGGATCATTTGTTTTGTTTTTACTATTATTGTCTTATATATTATTTTCATTTGTATCTTTGTACATAAGGTGTTCTTTGTTTTGAATTCTATCTTTGAGGGAATTCTAAAAATTGGAATCAGTAGATTTGAGAATATGGGCGGTATGGGTGTGTGGTGTGAGTGTGTGTGTCTGGGTGTGGTGTGTGTGGGTTTGGGGTGTGGGTGTGTATGTGTGGTGTGTGTATGTGTGGTGTGGTGTGGGTGTGGTGTCGGTGCGGTGGGCGCAGGATATTTCTGCACCAGCTAAAATCGGCCGTTTGGATTATATGGCCACTATTTCAGATAGTCATGTTATCTGGCCGTACTTTTGAGAGACTTGATTTGTAGTTTTATCATCATTTTCTCTCCCTTTCCAGGCCAAATTAAAAAAGCGGAAGCCTCGAGTAAAAAAGGAAAACAAAGCCCCCAGGCTGAAAGATGAGCATGGGATTGACTTTTCATCTCCCAGACTCTCAGACAATCCATCAGAGGAGGGAGAAGTGAAGGTCTTCCTAGGTGGTCTCCCGTCCAAATACTAACCAGGCCCAACCTTGCTTAGCTTCCGAGATCAGCTGGGATCATTTGTTTTGTTTTTACTATTATTGTCTTATATATTATTTTCATTTGTATCTTTGTACATAAGGTGTTCTTTGTTTTGAATTCTATCTTTGAGGGAATTCTAAAAATTGGAATCAGTAGATTTGAGAATATGGGCAGTATGGGTGTGTGGTGTGAGTGTGTGTGTCTGGGTGTGGTGTGTGTGGGTTTGGGGTGTGGTGTGTGTATGTGTGGTGTGGTGTGGGTGTGGTGTCGGTGCGGTGGGCGCAGGATATGTCTACACCAGCTAAAATCGGCCGTTTGGATTATATGGCCGCTATTTCAGATAGTCATGTTATCTGGCCGTACTTTTGAGAGACTTGATTTGTAGTTTTATCATCATTTTCTCTCCCTTTCCAGGCCAAATTAAAAAAGCGGAAGCCTCGAGTAAAAAAGGAAAACAAAGCCCCCAGGCTGAAAGATGAGCATGGGATTGACTTTTCATCTCCCAGACTCTCAGACAATCCATCAGAGGAGGGAGAAGTGAAGGTATGAGGCTTGCTTTCAGTTGAGCGTTATACTTTAAGCTTCACTTATTGTGCCAGCTGGTATAAAAGCATTTGAAAGGTGCTTGGTTTACATGCAGCGTAGATGAAGGAAACTGAATCTTTGTCTTTATTTAACCTGTGAGAAAGGAGTGTAGCTGTTCATTTAAGTCAGCAAGTGCAAACTCGCAGATACTGGATGAGGGGACCACGCTAGTTCTAATGATAAATGGCAGCTGACGTTCAGCCTCGTTTTGGGGAACGACAGCGCGCTGGCAACGTGGCTAAGCGAGGAGCTGGTGCAAGGCACAGCTGCGCTCTCGGTCAGTTTGTCGTTGGGCCAAAGAAAACCTGTCTGTGGATCAGGCTTGGCCCAAGGCCCACAAGTTTGTAACCTCCTGTCTAAGCAAAGTGGAATGTAAACTAGTGTCCTTCAGTGTTTTGTTTCAGTGAGTAGCAACTTAATGGGTTTTATTTTGTTACTCTTCGAGCGTAATTGTGCTTTGAGATTAGCTCCAAGAGGGTCAGCAGTGATACAGCAACCTGCACGGTTTTGAGTCGTGCACGCATGCATTCACATGCTAGCAACTGCACCGGGTATTAGCTGACAGGTGCATATATGATCTCTTTGTCCTCAGTTTTTCCTCTCTGTGAGATGGAAATGATAATGCCTATGCTGAAGGGTTGCTGTGAGAATTAGAGAAGACAGAAGTGAAGAACATCTGCCTCTGAAAGCTTACCTGGCTATTACCAGAGTGTTTAGAATTAATTGTGTGAGTGCTTTCAGGCTGTATGCTTGAAAACAAGCTTCCAAGTGTAGACGTGGTGATGAACCGCTGGGGGCAGTGCTTCCTGCTCCAGAAAGTAAATGAGTAAATATAAAGTTCGCGGCCATAGCTCATAGCCCCATTTGTCTTCTAGGATGATGGCTTAGAAAAAAGTCCAATGAAAAAGAAACAGAAGAAGAAAGAGAACAAGGAGAACAAGGAGAAACAAATGAGTTCTAGGAAAGACAAAGAAGGAGACAAGGAACGGAAGAAGTCTAAAGATAAGAAAGAGAAGGTATTGATGTCCTTCTTCTTACTGAGGTACCCGTAGCTGCTGAAATTCCCTTCTGGAATTTAGAAATAGAATGGAGTTTGAGGGTCCGGAAATAATTGTCTTTCTATGGGCTCATCCGAGAAGGAAGGTTGGGACTGTTGGGGGGAGGCCTGCGCCGCCTCCTGCAGAGAGAAAGGGACGTGCAGGTGTGGGTGTCCTTCCACAGGGAAGGCCTCTGTGTGCACTCTGCATATTTCAGGGGTCTGTTTGAATGTGATAAGACAGGTGAGAGGAATCTGCACTTACAGGTAACTACTTGAAATATATTCTCAGATTCATGATAGAATAGCACAGTCTGCAGATGAATTTGAATAGTTGAAGGATTTAGGCTTCCAACCAAATGCTAGCAAGAGTTAAGCTTTTGGAATAGAAATGGGTGAAAAGCCCTGCTATTATATAATCTTCACTTTGAGGGTTTTAAAGTTCATTCCAAACCACAGAAATCTGGTAAAGTGTTGCATGTATGCTTGCTGACTTATGATGAAATTATTTTGCAATTAATCATCATTAAAACATGCAAACAAGTAACTGCTATAATTCCACCATCCAGTTATAACTCTATTAGATTTCTTGCTGAGTACCTTTCCATATAAGAACAAACATAAAATAAAAATCAGACCAGACTGTTGGGTAGTCTTTTCTCCCCACTTAGCAATATATAACAAACAACTTTCCAAGTGAATAAATACATGTTAAATTGTTTTTAGTACATAAGGAAGATTCTGTTTGGTTATAACAGCTTGGGAGCAATTAACATCTCATATTGAAATTGCTTTCCAATTTGTAATGTTATAAACCATCCTGTGACAGATATCTTGGTGTCTGTGCTTCCACAGAAAGATACTTTTATTTTTTTAAAGTGAAATATATTAAAAAAAAAAAACACAAAGAACAATTTAACATTTATCCACTACTCAGATGTTACACTTTTTGTTAATATTTTTCCATGTTTACTTCAAGTGGCTTTTTTTGGCAACTGTATTTTGAGTTTCATGCACACATCATGAATGCTGTTGAAGCTCTCTCTTTTAAATATATCTAAATATACTTATATCTCCATCCTTCTGCAACCTTTCATGGAGAAAATGAGATTTGTCCATGCAAATTTGTGTAGGTTTCAATCATTTACAATATTTTAATTAATACAAATTCTTAGATCAGTGTATATTCATTTATAAGCTGTTAATAAAAATTGCTACATGATACTGTACAAGATCTCTGCCAGTTTACACTCTTAATCTCCTCGTGATTTTGTGCATTTTATGGATCAGAGAATGGCAGCCAAATGGAATTGATGAAGCTAAAGTTATAATTGGGTATGTTTAGAAACAGAAATGGGAATGGTGTGTAAACAGTTACTCACATAGGTTTGGCTTCATGATGTCTCTCAGAGGACCTTATTTTGCCTTTTCTATAAACTGAGGCCGTCGTATTTACCCGCTGTAGTGACATGACATAGGTACCAAGTCCAAATTGCAAGGCAGGATTACACAAATGACAATGACTCCTTGTAACTCTTTTTTAAAAGCCTAAAGGTGGTGATGCCAAATCTTCGAGTAAATCAAAGCGATCTCAGGGTCCTGTCCATATTACAGCAGGAAGTGAACCTGTCCCCATTGGCGAGGATGAGGAGGATGATCTGGACCAGGAGACATTCAGCATAGTAAGTCATGACCTTGAGGGACGCCAGTGCCTGCGGTGGTGAGGAGGGGACACCATGACACGAGACAAGGCTGGGGTCCTGGCCGAGTGAGCTAGAGCAGTGGTGAACGTGTCGTTCTTGCTTCCTTGTGGTGGCGGGTGACACTAAGACATGGCCCAGGATACGGTCTGTCTCCCCAGGTGAGACGGGGGAGGTGTGGGAGAGCACGCACGGACGAGGCCTTGATGGGACTGGGAACAGGCCAGGGTGTCCTCAGGCCCTTATTTCCTTACTGGAGCTGCAGGTATGTGTTTCATTGCGCTGCACTCAACAAATTCTCTTCCCCACCCCTCTGGTGGTCTCCCCTTCTCCCCAAATTTCCATAAATCAGTTCACTTGAATAGTTAACTCGATCCCAACGAGAAAGTGATCTTCCAGATCTCAAAATATTCCTGCTCTGTGGCAGCAGAGGAAAGAATTTTGATCCCATCCTTGTCGGTAGTCTGTCTCTCTCCACCTTTTTCTGTGTTCCCTCAAACCTGTATGCACGTGTATATACATAGATACATATATTTTTCTTTGTATTTATCTAATTTTAAAAAATTCTCCTTAGTCTTCTGCCTGTGAGCACTGTGAGAGCAAGTACTGTGTCTTTACATAAAGTATACATAGATTCTAGAAGTATACAATAAATGAGTAAATTGAGTGAATGGATAAATTCATTACACAACCAGCTGATACATTTCCTTGGTTCTTCTTTAGCTCAGTATTTATGAGAAAATCAAAATTAATGCTTCTCTGGTACCATACTCGTTTTAAAAAATGCTTTTACATATTGGCTTATTCCTGTTTTTATATTATGAACTCTTTAAAAACTACAGAAAAATTCCAGGAATATAATACATTGATGTAGGTACCACGAAGCTCCGTCAGATCTGCATTTCTTTAAAGCTCAGACTAGAATGTTGAAGCCCCCAGTGTTCCCCAGTGTCAACCTTTGTTGCTTCCCCAGAAGTGGCCACAATGCTGAATTTGATTATCGTTCTCTCGTGCGTGATTTTGGAGTTTTTACTACTTACGTCTCTAAAGATAAGGTGAAGAGAGCTTGGGGACTCGTCCTGTGTCGCACAGTTAAGGTGCCCGTGAGAGTCAGGCTTCTCAGCGTCACACTGCACGGCCTCCCGTGGGCCCGTGTAAATGCGGCCCCGAGCGTGTCCCTTGACTTGCTCTTCTCCTCTCGGCATTTGCACGTTTGGGAGTTACCCGTGTCGATAACTGTTACGCTGCTGCTTTATGACTTCGGCAGTGCCATTCCTGTTGACGGACGTTGGGGTCTCCCCAGGTGTTTTCCATCACAGCGAGGCCGCGGCGAAATTGCGTGTTCTTGTGCACGTGTGTAAGAGCTCTGGCGCCTGCAGCTCGAGCAGAAGCGCGGGGTGACTGGGCATGCACACCTGCCACTTCATTAGATGTCATTGGGTCACTCCTCACAGCCACTGTAGAGATCCACACTCCTTCTAGCAGTGATTGTGAGTCTCCATTGCTTCCCAGTCTCAGAAACAGGGTAATTTCCGACTTATAGATTTTTACTGCCCTCCCGAGGGTGTGAAATATTGACTGGTGTGGTTGTCGAACATTTATTTTCGTATCTCTTGGGCATTCATGTTTCCAGTGAATTTCCTGTTCATATCCTTCGCCTATTTTGAGTAATTTGTCTTTCCTTACTTTTTCTATAGGAATTCGTGATGCTAATTTTTTATCTGTCAGTCATTACAAGTATCTTCTAGTTTTCTCTTATGGAACTCCTTGTTTTTGGATAGTGGACTCTGGGCGTGGTCCCTAATGTTATTTTTCTTTTTTAAATTTTCAATTTCTGCTTTTTAAATTACTTTCCTGGGGATCTCCTCAACTTTCTCCCCCATTATTTCTTTTGAGGATTTTATTCCTCTTGTTATGTTTATTGCCAAGATCTTTTACTCCCACCTCCCAACGGTTCTCTGAATATTTTTGTATTTATCTATCCATCATTCATGTTAGATATTTTTCCAAATGGCTTGGTAATCCTGGGTTGTCATTCTGTTTTCTGTTCGTCTGGCTCGCTAGTCCTGGGTTGTCTGCTCATGTTTAAGAGCGAGGGACTAACCCTCTGATTCCACGTATTTCTGCAATCCTGCTGTCAGTACAGTGACCTCGTCCCCTCGTGTAGCTCATTTTGGAGATCTTTCTTTCATCTTCTCCAGAGAATAAACTTCCTGATCTTTTTTGGTTGATGGTGTCGGATATCTGGGTGTCTATTAGGAATCCGAGTACCTGTTACTCTTAAGCAGTCTTTAAAAACCAGTCCTTATTTCTTAACTCTCAATCCTATGTCCAGAGACACTTGACTAGCCTTTGGGGGAATTTTGCAGTATAAATCAGGTGGCTCCATAGCTGGCTTTAGTGTTCTCAGGTTTATTAAGTAACTTCCCTAGCTGCCAATATTGTATTCCAGTTGTTTTTTCTCCTATTTTCCCTGTGTTTGTGGGGTTATCTCTTTTTAAGGCAATCCCTTTACTGTCCTTTTAGCGGGGTTGGAGTTAGGGAGGAGAAGATCCTCATGTTCTGTTCACCGTTCTTGCCCGGAAGCCCGTCCCTTAAGGGCTTCTGACGAACCTAAAAGACTTGTAAATGTCTTATCCTGCAGTTTTAGTTTGCGATGGGAGGTTTTCAGACCAGGTTTGTAGTTTTGCATCTCATTTGACTTTCATAATGGCCTTGTGAGGTTGTCAGGCCCCTCTTGCAGATGGGGAAACAGAGCAGCATCTTCAGAGGCCAGGTAAGGTGTAACAGGTCATTGCTCTAAGCGACGATGCTGAGACTTGCACCTCAGGTTTTTCTAACTTGACACTGATACTTTTTCCACTGGCTTTAACTGCTTCTTCCCAGTGACCACATGGCATGAGGGCGGGCTGTGTGTTCCTGGGAATTCAGGGCACAGGAAGCAAAGGCGGAGGCGTCTCTGCTGCAGATGTTTCATAACTCCACTCTCTTGGCCTGTTCCAGTGTAAAGAGAGGATGAGGCCCGTGAAAAAGGCACTGAAACAGCTGGACAAACCTGACAAGGGGCTCAACGTGCAGGAGCAACTAGAGCACACCCGGAACTGCCTGCTGAAAATCGGGGACCGGATAGCCGAGTGCCTTAAAGCTTACTCAGACCAGGAGCACATCAAGCTGTGGCGGAGGTAACCCGGCTTGACTTGATGGAGTTGTGTGGGTCCGTTTTGTTTTATGAAGGTGACATAGCCACCCAAAGAAAATTGTTTTTCTCAACAAAAGCTATCCTTTGGCAACATTCCTGTAGGCTTTCATTTTACTTTCTTGAAATAGGCCATTCCAGTGAGCCCAGTGTTTTTAATGGGTTGGATGATGTCATTATTTTGTAAGAGAAAAACGATAGTGGATATGATGGCCTATTCTCAGCATAAAGACTCAGTCTTTAAACCTGAAAGGGACAGAAATCTACTTTGACTCTACATTAATCTCAGGTTAAAGTTCAGATATAATATAGTCACTGATTGGTTAGCTCTCTACTAACTCAGGAGGAGAAGTAGGTAGAAACCACCAGAACTGAGAGTTCTCTGTTCTCTTTAATGATGGAGTAATTTGAATTACTACAAGTAATTCAGAACTTTAGTTTGTAAGGTATCATGACTTAATATTTTTCACTTTTGATACTTTAAGTAAACAATAAGTTTCTCACAGACAGTTGTAACATTCATCTCTTTCCATATACTTCATGGTTAATGTAATTATTTTCGTATAATAAACCCAATATCAGTGGATTGGTTTTGGAGTAAAAATGAATTTAAGAAAACCTCTCATGTTATGCTATCCATAGCATGCTTCACACCCATTAAGAAACAGAATTGTTTTAAAATGTTACTCTTCCGCTTTACACTGTTAGCACCTCCTTTCCGTCCCCAGCCATCTGGCTTGCTTTTTACCGACTCAGTCAGTCCCTGTTGGAAGATACCAAAAGTACTGTCATCCCAGTACATATATGTTCATAAGCTGGGCTCTCTGCTGTGCGCCGAGGCCCATCTGTGTTTAAATGCACGGGGCACCGTGGTCCTGGCTGACAGTAGTTCGCAGGAAGGTCCTTGCCCACTCCTGAGACACTGTCTATCATAAAGTGGTAATTCCCTGACCAGGTGCAGTGGGGCTTCCTGGAGGAGGAGGGGGTGGCGCGTGCAGAAGCGTAGTCGGGCGCGTCTTCTGAGAGGCAGGTGGACACACTCGAGCCTGCTGTAGAGTGGAGTGGACTTTGATGAAGGTGTTCTCAGGCTTCTGTAGGGGCTCAGAAGTGGGGCCGCGAGGGTCGTCAGGGTGCAGAGGCACTCTGTTAAGACGGCCAGAGCCTGTAATTAACAGAAGGCCTTTGGGAGGCGGGTAGACGGCGTCTCGGAAACACGCTGCAGCAGGTGCACGAGTCGGGGGCCCACACGGTGCCTGGGTGGCACACACGGCGACGCTGCTCTCTGAAGAGTGCGTGGGGCGAGACGCCTCTTCCAGCTCCCTGTCAGTCATGCCCCGTTCACAGCAGCGCCCTGTTAAGGGTGCGTGTGGCGGGATCGGAGGGAGGGGTCCCTGGGAGTTTGAAGGAGGAAACCATAGGGCTCGGTGGTGACGACTGGGAGGAAGGAAGGGGCAGCAGCGCAGAGACAGCCAGCCGGCTGTGTGCGCGCCCAGCCTGGCGGGTTCTGGGAACATGGACGGTGGAGGGAGACTTCGGACTGGAGCCCTGGGTGCCAGTGAAGTAGGGGAGTTTTAACCATAACACAGAGAGCCCGGGTCTCCAGACCCCTCAGCCAAACCCTGTTGACAGTAGCATCTAAAGATGGGGAAAAAAAAAAAAAAAAGATGGATTATTGATGCAAAGACCTGGAAGAATATTTCTGTGACTTCATTTTTGCACCTGGAGAGTATTCCACAGTAAAACTTGATAGCTTGCCATCCATGAAGAGAATAAAAAGTAATTTAAAAAATTCTATAATTTACCAGTATCATTTCTGTTTTTTAAGGAACCTATGGATTTTTGTTTCCAAGTTTACAGAATTTGATGCTCGAAAATTGCATAAGTTATACAAGATGGCTCATAAGAAAAGATCTCAAGAAGAGGAGGTAAAATACAGATTTAATCCTACTTCATACTAATAGATAAAAACCAGTTCCAAGAAAATTCCTTAATGGCAGTTTTTCCCTGGGGAGATGGTCAGAGTTGGAGGTGGCTGGTGTTGGACTGGTCCCCGGGTCTCTGTCCTTACTGTACGGATGGAGATGTGGGTCCAAGGGGTGTGCAGAAGGCCACAACACTTGTCCCGTCCCGTCCCGTCCAGTGCGCTCCTCCCGCTGGCTGGCTGTGCAGTTTCTCAGCGTGCTCCAGTAATGGTCGGCCCGCAGTAAGACCCGAAGGGTCAGATGGCCAGTGTATTGGAACCAGACGGTGTTGAAACTCTCACGGGGAGTTGTTACCCTGTGTTCTCATATTCATCAGGCCTCTTCTTCCACATGCTCATGTCTCAGTGTGGCATCTAAACGTGGCTCGTGATTGTTTTCTGGGCCGGCTTTTGTGTGGTGGGTCACAGCTGCTCGTGTGAAGGAGCTGACTTGGAGTAAGGGGGTGGGCACGGCGGTGACTCGATGCTGTGGCGGGCAGTGTCCTCGTGCAGGCCTGTCCATTTGCAGATCTGCTGACTTGCCATGTGGGTCCTACCCAATTTAGGGCCCATCTAGGAGCAGTTAGTACCTCCTCCGCTGGCATGGCAGGTCCACGAAGGAGAGATTTCATGCCTCTCGTCCTCTGCTTGTCCTCAGTACCTGGAATAGCGCTGTCACTGGAGCAGGGCTCAGAAGTGTTTACTGCATGAACATATCGTACGCCCAGCACTGTGTTGAGCTGTTCCTTCTCATTTGATTTACGTGGAAGGATATGATACATGATCCAGCAGAAACGTGCAGAAATAATATGCTAATACTGCTGAACGTTAATGTCGATTTTCAGCATTATAAGAAGTCTTAGAGTGGTCGGGAAGGGCCCTTGGAGGAAATGGAATAGCTGGGTAAGAGTGAAAGTTAAGATGAGCATTTGAAATTGAGCACGTGCTATAAAGGGCCCCATCAGTCCAGGTATCCGAAGTTTAGTGTAAATCGAACGAAGCCGTGCGCTGCCCGTGGGGGCATAGTATATGTTGTCACAGCTTTTCTGGGGGATGATTCAGTAAGATTCATCAAAGAGTAAAACAGTTCTTCTGAGAGTTTAAGGAGCTGCTTAAGGATTTAAACATGTTTCTAGTGGAAATAACTTGAACGTCCACCAGGAAGAAATGGACTGGAATCAGCTTGATAAATAAGTCAAGATATATTCATGCCAGAGAATATTACTCATCCATAAATATAATACTATGGAAATAAGTATTCACATGAGATTTTCACAATATAAGTGAAAAAAGAATACCAAACAATTTTGTTTAAAAATATATATACGTATATAAACGTAAAAAGGCTTAGAAAGACTTGGACCAAATTATTACAGTAATTCTCGTTAGTGAGACTTTACATTTTATACTTTACATTTCTGATTTTTTAGAAACTACATTTTCTGATGTTTTCCTATCGAATATTTTGCTTGTGTGGTAAAGATGTAATCTAGCACTTTCACAGGTCCTCCCCAGGCAGCGGGGCCAGGACTTGGTAGCTGGTGCTTAAAGAAAACCCGTGATGGCATCCTTGCCCTGGAACTGTGCCAGTGGCATCTGTCACTCAGTGGGACAGAGAGACTGTTCTCTGACATCTTAGTCCACGTTGGGCCTTTCTCCTACGGCTCTAACCTTGGGCCCTCTCCATTTTTATCCTTTACCATAAAGGAAAAAAGAAAAAAGTAATGTTACTCAAACATTTAGATATTTCGCCAGATGACTTTGACATAAGAGAGCTGGTTCCCACTGGACTGGTCGGCTGTTTGTACTGATTAGCTAATTAGCCTAAGAAAGGTGATGGTCCTGGTTTTACTGGGACCAACAGGAGTCTCGGAGAACTCTTCACAGCCTGGGCACCTGTCCCATGCCCCAGGTGGTGGCATCCAGCAGTCGCTGCACGTGCTCTTACAGGTCCTCATCAGTGGAACTTGGCCTAGTAGATCAGAGCAGCTGCGGGAGCTCTGTGCGTCTGTTCACACTGTAGCACTCGGGACTCTGCGAGCTTTTTTTGGTGAAGGCTCCTCTCAGGAGCCAAGAGGGTCAAGAGGGGCTGTTTGGGGGTGACGATCTTTACACCGTTCTTGGGGATTCAGCCTTGCATCTTGAGTCTCTGGTTTCCTTTTACTCTACAGGAGCAAAAGAAGAAGGATGATGTGATTGGTGGTAAGAAGCCATTCCGACCGGAGGCCTCAGGCTCAAGCCGGGATTCCCTAATGTCTCAGTCCCATGCGCCGCACAGCCTTCACCCCCAGAAGTCTCATTTGCCTGCCTCCCACGGCCCACAGATGCATGGACACCCAAGGGATAACTACAGTCACCCCAACAAGAGACACTTTAGTAATGCAGGTAGGTCATGAAGCGGAGCTGTTAAAAACAGTGACGAGAAGAATCATTTTATTCTCCAAAGACGGCAGCTGGGCCTTTGCGCTTTATTCTCTGCCATCACTTCATTGTCTTCTTTTTCCCGAATGAGATGAAGCATGAAACAAACATCCAAAAGGATGTTCTCTCGACTTTGAGAAGAACATAGGCCCCATAAACAAACAAAAGGCAAGTGATAGACTGAGGGAAATAGTTTACGTTATACCTGACAGTTAAATGGTTAAAACTGTTAATATCCTTGTAAGTTGATAAAAGGATAACCAAATGGAAAAACGAGCAAAGGTTAGGAATAGAGAATTCATGCAGAAGACGAAATACAAATGGCCAATACAATAAGATAACATCGTTACTAGGGAAATGTAAATTAAAGCAACAAGTTAACCATTTTTTTTTACCAATTCAGATCAGCGAAAAGTAAAATGTGATATACACATAAATTGCTGAGTGTGAATTGTGGTAGTTCTTCCAGAAAATAATCTGAAATATCTAGATATGTAGGCTCTTTTTCTGGGAGTCAATCTGTAGAAATAAAAACATCCTCATATGTACATGTATAAGGATGCTGTTGTAGCCTTATAATGGCAAAAAGGTGGAAATAACCTGAATGTCCATTAACAGGAGAAGGGTCAGATGACTAATAAGACATTTGTACTCTATATTATTATAAGTTAAAAAGAATGAATTGGGTTTATAGTTGTAAAAAATTGGAGGGGGAAAAATAGTAGCAACAACAAAATCTGTATGTAAATTTATTGAGGTGAAATTCACATAACATAAACTTAACCATTTTAAGTGACCAGTACAGTGGCATTTAGTGCATTCTCAGTGTTTTCAGCCACCACTTTACCTAGTTCCAAAACTCTTCCGTTACCCCAAATGGAGATCCCGTATCTGTTCAGCAGTTTCTCCTGGTTCCCTCCTGCCCTCAGCCCCACGGCCACTGGTCTGTTCCCTGTCTCCCTGGGTTTGTGGATTCTGGACGCTGCTTGTAAATGGAGTCGTGCAGCATATGTCTGACTGCTTTCACCGGGCGTGGTGTTCTCAAGTTCATCCACGTTGTAACATGTGCCAGTACCTCATTCCTCTTTGTGGCTGAGTAACATTCCATTGGATGGACATACACCACCGTTGGTTTATCCGTTTATCGGTTGATGGACATTTGGGTTGTTTCTCCTCTTTGGATGTTGTGAATAGTACTGCTGTGAAATTTTGTGTGCAAGTGTTGGCGTACCTGTTTTCAGGTCTTATAGGTATATACCTAAGAGTGGACTTGCTGGGTCACATGGTAATTTTATGTTTAACATATAGAGGAACCACCACACTTTTCCAGAGTATGTATTTGAATAACGTATCTGTATAAACATACAGAAAGCTGTGGCAACATACACACGATAGCAGTTACGTAAGGATGGTAGGAGTGGAGCGGGGAGATGGAGGAAGTGAATAGTTTCTCCATCCGTCACTTCCCTGGGTTGCAGTGAGCATGAATTGCCTTTAAAGACAAAAGTAATAAGAAGGGGAAAGAACCTCGTGGAGTGAAAGCCGCAGAGTCACCCTGCCCTTTCCGAGGTGTCCTGCTCCTGGGGCTCCCCTCCTTCCGCCCCTGACTTTGCTTTGGCTGCTCCTCGATGTCCAAACAGGTTCTTTTTCGGTTCCCTGCCCTTTCTTATTGTCCTTGGCGGTGTAATTCTTTCTGCAAGCTGCTCGAAACTCCTTGGAAGCCCAGTGCCATGTCTTCTAATCTTGAAAATCTAAATAGTTCAAAGTCAGTCGATCCTAATTTTATCGAGGAGAGAAAAGGTAATGGCTGTAGAAGATGGTTGGGAACTATTTCCATGTGCTCAGATCTGCTCGTATTAGTTAGGCTGATTTTTTTTCCTGGGATTAGATTGGTTTCGTGTTATTCGTGTGATGTCACCGATTTTATATTCTGATCCTTTGAAAGAATTCTTACTAAGCTATAACTGTAGTCTTTTATTTAAATGCTGGATTCCTCAGCCATCTCCTTAGTAGCTCAGTACTTCTAACCAGTGACCTACTTCATAGAGGGTTTGAGAAGAAAGAGAACCACTGTTTGCTTTCTCTGGAAATAAATGACTTGGCTTAAATATTAAGCATCTGTACCACAGACATTGACACCCAGTGTGAAATCTTACTCTGTTTGCTTTTAAGCCGTTTTCATGACCTTTCACTTTGTGAAGGTGTCTCTTTGTTGTTCATTCTTAGATTGAAGAGCCGCCTGGCCTGATCTACCTTGGATCAGCAATGAATTTAAGCCACTGGTTGACTGTACATTATTTGAAGGGTATAAATTTCTAAGCTGCATAGTGTCCTTGATACTGCTATTTTTGGTCTCTGTAGAAAAATGCTGGAAGACCGACAAAATGAGTAGAGAAGCATTTATTTGATGACATATCTTTGGTCTCAGCATAGCTGTAGGTAGATCATATTTCCCACATGAGGCCACATAGCTCCTGCTGGTTAAGTCTCTGTGTAAGTTTCTAAGGCTGCCTGTAACAGAGCACCGCAAACTGGCTGGCTTAAAACAACTGAAATTTATTTTCTCACAATACTGGAGGCCAGAAGTGTGAAATCAGTGTGCCAGCAGGGTTCGTTCCTTCCGGAAGATCTGAGGGAGAGTCAAATCGTGCCATGCCTCTCTCCTGGCTGATAGTGGCTGCCAGCGATCTTCTGTGATCCCTGACGTGCGGCTGATCCCTGCCTCCACCTCTGCATGCCTTCCTCCATGTGTCTGCCTCAGATTTCTGCCAAAAGGATGTATCTGTCATTGGATTTAGGGCCTGACCTGAATTAAGATAATCTCATCTTGAAATCATCTGCAAAGACCCTATTTCCAAGTAAAGTCATAATCACACTCACAGATTCTGAGTGGACATATACTTGGGGGCACAGTTAAACTCACTCTAGCCTCCATTCCTGAATATGTGTGTTTTCAGTACCTTTTCCGTATTTAAATACGTGTGCTTCTCTTGAGGGGGAAATTGGGGGTTACAGAGGCTAAAACAAATTCCTCTTTGGCCCCTGTCCTTGAGAGTTAGAACACTGACTCAGATCCAGAGTGCGAGGAATCACTTTTTGTAAGAGCAGGTCCTTTTATTTTTTTTTTTTTGGTATGGGCAAAGGAAGAATAGCGGAATCAGTAAGTATAGTCGAGAATGGTTTACAGAGACTAGGCTTACGGTGCCAGCAGGTAAACTTCAGACATGTAAACAGAGGATATTACCTTGCAGTCGTGAAATTCAGCAATGCTGTTTTCTGAATATTTGGTTTTTTTTTGAGTGAAACCTCATTTTAATGGTCTGCCCCAGGTGAGAAAAGTAAGCAGGTAGAAAATAAAAAGCAATAGTTCTTAAGATTTCAGAAGGAGGAAAAGGTGGTGGATTTTCTTTCGCCTTAAAATGTGGGGGAAAGAATGTTACTGGTCTGTTAACCAGCAGCAAAAAGGCCAAAAAGGAGGAACTTTAATGTCTCTCTGAAACACGTCAGCCTTTCAGTTTAAACTTCAGTAGAAGTGAACTTGAGCCACTCCTTGCAACCATGAGACCGTTCTGTCTTCCCCTGCAGATCGAGGAGACTGGCAGAGGGAAAGAAAGTTCAACTATGGCAGTGGCAACAGCAACCCGTCATGGGGCAGTGACAGGCACCATCAGTATGAGCAGCACTGGTACAAGGACCACCATTATGGGGACAGGCGACACATGGACAGCCACCGTTCTGGGAGCTACCGACCCAACAACCTGTCTAGAAAGAGACCCTACGACCAGTACAGCAGTGACCGAGACCACCGGGGACATAGAGATTACTATGACAGGTATGCAGACGGCCCTGGGGCACTAGGAGCTCACCTTTGCCAAGAGCTTTTCTGTTCATTGGGGGATAGACAAGCGACATGTTAATGTACCTGTCAGAGGCAATGAGCATCTCATCATGTGCCCAGGCACGGTCCCGAGTCTGACCCAGCGTTTATGCCATCGAGGCATCTTTGGGGCGTTGGGAGGAATCACAAGGTGGGCAGCTGACACTGTCCTGATCAGTGGTTGAAAGTAGAGACTTTGGAGTGTTTCCTGTGGACTGAGGATGAAGGGAGGCTGCTGATCCTTGCTCTGGGCTCTGAAGCGTCAGCTCAGCAGAGAGCAGTGGCATCCTGGGCCCAGGGCAAGGATGGGCGCCCGGAAGATCAACGGTGGACGGTTGGGAGGCCTTGAGTGCCAGGTCATAGGTTTTATTCTCTGGGTCAGAGGACGTCATCTCCAGTTTTCTGTCTTCCTCTGAAGAAAGCAAGAGAAGAGGTAGCCATAAAAGAGCCAGCAGCCAAAAGTACTAAGCTGTGTGCTGGGCTCTCAGCCACGCTGGGCAGCAGGGACCCTGAGATGATACCAGCCCAGGGTCCTTCCTTCTTGGACCTGTGAGTTCATCATTTCTATGAAATTTGGAACTTTTTTTACCATTATTTCTTCAAGTATTTTTTTCTGCCCCCACCCCAATACTTTCATCTCCTTTGGAGGTGCTGATTATACTTGCTTGAGTTTGTCTCAGCTCATCGATACTGTTTATTTTTTTAAATTGTGTTTTCTCTCTGCTTCCTTTAGATAGTTTCTATTGCTGTGTCTTCACTGTTCACTAGTAATTTCTTTTACAATGTCTAACCTGCCTTGAGGTCCACTGGTATATTTTATTTTTCATACATTGTAGTTTTACTTATAGAAGTTGTATTTGGGCCTTTAAAAAAAACATTCTTTCATGTCTGTTTCCTTTCAAAATTTGGAATACAGTTTTAAAATAGTTTTTATGTCCTTGTCTGATAATTCTGTCATTTGGGTCAATTTTAGTTAATTAATTTATTTCCTTATCATGATCTTATACCTAGTCATTCTTTTCATTCCTAGTAATTTTTTACTAGATACCTGTTGAGTGGTGAATATTTTTGATTCTTATAAATATTCTGGAGCTTTATCATGAGACACTCAGGTTACTTGGAATGTTTCATTCTTTCAGGTCTTGCTGTTAAGATTTGGGAGGCGGAACTGGACGGAGCCTTGCTCAGACAGGGGCTAATTATTCTCCACTACCCAGGCCAGCGTCCCCACTGTCCTCTCTCAACACAAACCCCCGCAGGGCTTGAGGTGTTCGGTATGGCTGGTGAGCTGGGCCCTGCGTGAGCACAGGGCACTTGGACCTCTGATCTTCCAGGCGGATCTTTCCCTGGCCTTGGATGGTCCCCTCAGTAGGCACCCCGATCAGTGCTCACTGACCACTCAAGGGGGACTCCTGCAGACCGCCACCTGCTTTCTGTGCACACAACTCTCTCTTTCACTCCAGCCTGCGAACTCCAGCTCCCTTGGTTCTATGTCCGCCCCAGACTCTTCGGCTCCGGAAGGGCGCTGGGCTCCTCCTGGCTTCCCCGCCCCATGCCGAGGCCTGGAAGCTGTGTTAAGGCAGTGAGCAGGGCAGTTAAAAGGCTCATCTCATTAGTTTCCCATCTCTCAGGAGTCACTCCTCTTTGTTGTCACATCTGACATGATGTCTTGAAAACCATCATTGTATACATTTTTGTGTCTTTCTAGTTGTTTCAGGAGGAAGGTAAATCTAGTCCTTGTTACTCCATCTTGACTGGAACTCGAAGTTACCATCCATCTTTCTGTCCCCTAAGGTGAAATTCACATAGCATAAATGAATGACTTTTAAAAAGAACAGTTCAGGGACAGTTAGCACATTCCCAGTGTTGTGCAACCAACACCTGGTCCAGTCCCAGAACACTGCGATCACCCCGGAGGACACCCTGCAACCGTTAAAAGTCCCAGAACACTGCTGCGATCACCCCGGAGGACACCCTGCAACCGTTAAGCAATCACCGTATTCTGCCCTCTTCAGCTCCTGACACTCACCAGTCCGTATCCTGCTTCTGTGTGTTTACTTATTCCGGATATTTTGCATAACTAGAATCATACAAGCTGGGGCCTTTTGTGACTGGCTCACCGTCGCACGTATGTGCCACTTCTCATTTAGCCAGTCCCTGCTAACGGACGTTTGCGCCGTCCTGCCTTTGGTTGTGGTGATCGGTGCTGCCGTGAACCAGTGGTGGGGTTGTCAGTCACACCGTAGTTCTGCGTTGACGCTTTTAGGAACCACCTACCTCCCGCCTGCAGAGGCCGAACCATTTTGCATCCCCAGCAGCAGTGGTGAGAGCTGCAGTTTGCCCACTCCTTTGCCAGTACTGATCTGCTGGCTTTATTTTATTATTTTTTTTAACACAGCTGGCCTAGGAGGTGCGAAGAGGTATCTCACTGTGGTTTTGATTGGCACTTCCCTGATGGCTGGTGGTGGTGAGCATCTCGTGTCCTTAGCGGCCACGTGTGCACCATCTTGGGAGAGATGTTTGTTCAAGTCCTCCGCCCATTTTTGAATTGCGTTGTTGATCTTTTCGTCATTGACTTGTATCAGTTCTTTTGGTAGAAGTTAAACATTTTAATGTTCTTCACATTGAGTCAAGCTTAAAAATAATTAACCCTTTACTTATTGTCAAATATTAGGCTGATTGTGGTTTTTGCTGTTACTCATAACTTAACAGAATGCTCTCTGTGGCTCTTTTTCTCCTGGGCTGGGTCAAGGAATATGAAAATGTTTGCAGGTCGTGCCGGTTTTCCTGAAGGGAGTATGAGTGTACAAAGCCGCCAGTGATTCAAGTGTGTACTTGCTTCATTGCAGACTTGATGAGGCTTATGTCATTTCATAGGATGTGGCTTTGCCAATAAGTGTAAAACAGCCCTTTGTTATTACCTTTGTTTTCCGGATTCCTGGTAATGTGAGCATTTCCCGTGAGTCCTTTGGAAGTGTCCTTGACTCCGAGGAAGAGCAGTGGACGGTGGCGGAGGGGATAGGGTCTGGCTCTGGTCTTCCAGCTCACCCTCGCGTCTCTGTTTCAGGCACCATCACGACTCCAAGCGGAGGAGAGCGGATGAGTTTAGGCCTCAGAACTACCACCAGCAGGATTTCCGGCGAATGTCTGACCACCGCCCCCCGATGGGCTATCATGGCCAGGGACCCTCAGACCATTACCGCACCTTCCACACAGACAAACTGGGGGAGTACAAACAGCCCCTGCCGCCCCTGCACCCCGCAGTCTCAGATCCTCGTTCACCCCCTTCTCAGAAGTCTCCCCATGACTCCAAGTCTCCCCTGGATCATAGGTCTCCTTTGGAGAGATCGCTAGAACAGAAAAACAACCCAGATTATAACTGGAATGTTCGGAAAACATAAAGGACGGCTCGGGAGAAGGGGAGCGCAAGAGTCCTTAGCACCGGATGTTTTTGGTCTGACCCACGGGAGCCAGTTACCTAGACCAGTAAGTGGAGTTTCTGGACACGCTGCTGCTGCCAGCTCGCCGGCCGAGGGGCGTTTCAGGGAGCGGGGGGCTTTGGTCCGGTCACCACTCCTGCACTCTGGCGCCCCCGCTCGTTCCAGCCTGGTTTCAGCCTCCCACTTTGACGGGTGCTAGGAGGAAGAGGTGACTTTTATGTACCAGTGTCACAGGCTGTGCTTCCCGGGTGAAGGAAGAAGGGATCTTAGGGTCGGGAGTGTCTTGTCGCCAGGGTCCGTGCACCCGGGACCTTGGTGCGGTGGTCAGGGAGGGGACGCGCGTGCGAAGGCTGCTGGGACCTGCTGGACAGTGTGTGACTCGGGTCGCTGTGAAGTGACGATGCTGCTGTCGGGGAGTGGGGCTTGGGGACGAGCGGGTGGGGTCTCGCATCATAGGACTCGAGGGGGAGCAGGTACACCCCTCAGATGCGTTCTTGGGAGAAATGATACGCGTGGGCCTCATTGTGTGACACCTGTGGTGCAGGGGTGGGGGGACAGGGCGACGACCCCACAGTGGGCCCCTCCCCACCAAACACTAATTCCTCCCATGCTGTCTGTAGCTGTCAGAGTTTTGGTCTCCTGGGCGGGCCACCTTTGCCCCCTGGGTCCACGAGCTGACTTTCAAGTACTGTGACAGGCAGCATGGAGTCAGTGGGTCTGACTTGGTTGGAAGGGGGCCGAAGGCGGGGGCAGGGTAGGGGCAGGGTGGGCGCAGGGCGGCTGAGAAAGCGGAATCCCTGGCAGATTTCCGATTCCTGGGATGAGAAGTGCGAGTCCAAGGCCGGGAGAGGACGGAAGGTGGAGGCGTGCGTGTTGTCAGCGTGTTGCTGGCACGCACGGGACAGGGCGCGCGTGCAGGGGCGGCCAGGGCCCCAGGCGGGCGTTTGGTCGTGCTGGTGGGGGGGCGGGGTTCAGTGTTGTGCCAGGTCAGCATTTCAGTTCCCATTTCACAGCTTGAAGTAGATGACACAGAGTCACACATGTCCTCACACTCGGGTGGGGGGTGGTAGACAGAGGGAGATAAGCTAGTTACCTGTGGTGAGCAGGTTTCCATTGTCGGTTAGAGATCATTAGAACTGAGCTCATTTTTTTTAGAATGAGATCAAGTCAAAGGATAAACCCCAAGTTAAAATTTTTTCCTCGATAGGAAGTGTCCAGGGACAGGGACTGAGCTGCAGACGGCGAGTCGTTCTAGAGTTGAGCTGAGTCGGGACTGGGAGGCAAGGTGGTTGTGTCAGTTAAGCAGACTGCTTTCATTTCACTGAGTCCGGGCCTTCGTTTCATTCATTTTAAACCAAGCTCGCCAGTATTGTTAGCGGATCCAGAGGCCCTTCTAGACGGAGGCAGAATAACTGACTCGAAGCACAGTATGCCTGTAAGTGTCCAGGCTTGGAGCTGGCGAAAACCCTTCCGTTGGGCACACACGACATTACTTTCCCTGAACTGACCTGTGGGGACTTAATATCACTGACTTGCTGGTACCCTGGGCCAACAGCATTGATGCCTTTACTCGGACTTTGTTGAGCTGCGTCACCCTGTGGACGTGTCACCTGCAGAAGCAATGTGGCCGTGGGTGGTTGCTCTCTGCCGCACCAAGCTCGAGGCTGGCCCGTGCAGAGTTCCAGAGGAGAGCCTGGGACCTCACAGCTCATGCTGGCGGCCTAGGGGACCCCTGCCTCATTTAGCTCCTCCTGGTGCTTGGGGCTCCTCACCCTAGGCTTACACCCACGGGCCTGCATGGGAGGCCTTGCCAGGTCATCCCTGGGGGCGTGCTGCGGGAGAAGTCATGCCTCTGCCTGGGCCACCACAGGTCCAGCTTCTTGCTGACAGTGCTGGCACTGCCCACGGCGAAGGGGAAGGCGCTTGGCTCGCCAGCTCCGTGAGCAGGGTGCGGTGGGCAGGGTACGAGCCGCCCCTCTCCTTCCCCTGTGGGGAGTCAGGTCACACCACGTCCCCGGCAGGCGTCACATTTCCTTTACGGCGCTTGGCTCGCCAGCTCCGTGAGCAGTCAGGGTGCGGTGGGCAGGGTACGAGCCGCCCCTCCCCTTCCCCTGTGGGGACTCAGGACACACCACGTCCCCGGCAGGCGTCACATTTCCTTTCGCTTCGAGGAGGCCCCGCGTTTCAAAAACCGTCAAGGTTTTTTGTTGTTGATAGAAGATGTGAATTATTCCCAAAGACCTCTCATCATGAGGAAAAAGGAACTTCCTTTTGTTTGCATTTGGGACTTAGAGTGCCATACAATGTAGCAAAAGGCAATATCAGCCAGATCAGTGTTAAATCGATTATAAAGTTGCAGTATCCCCATGAAAGCATCTGTTCTAGGTGTTGAGTATGTTTGAAGAGTGGGTTGGAGAAAGGAGGCACTTCCTCGTTGACTTAAGTCAGTATGAATACTGTAGTTTGCTTATATTAAAAACCGAGATTTGCACAGGTAGAAATTCTCTCACTGCGGATGGGAGAAGCTGCCCTCCCCCCCGCCCCCCGAATTTGTAAGGATGGTCTTCCACGGAGCCTAGCTTTGAAAGATTTAATCATTGGGCTGAGGAAGAGGGGAGTTAGCCTCACCTGAAACCTGAGCATAAACAAGGATTGACACGGTCTCTGTCCCCCCGGAAAAGGACACAGTGGACCCCAGGCTCACCGTCACGGTCCTTCAGAGCCGGGCCTGACGGCCCCTGGGCTCCCTCCCCTCGTAGTCATTCCCTGAGCCCTTCGTGGGAACCAGAACACTTCTGACATCGTGCTGCAGACTCGCTAGCTCTGTGTCTGCATCAGGACGTGCGGTGCAAATGCAGTTCAGTTAATCCACACACTGAAATCCTACAGACCAAAATCCACTCGTCAGCAGGGGCGGCGGCCCAGGGCCCAGCCCCCGTGCCTTCTGGCTTGTCTGGGGGCTGCCATGTCGGGTGAGGAGAGCCAGGCCGAGGGTCCAGGCTGCTTTAGTCCATCTGTGCCCGCCTCGTTTGGGGACAGGTGGTTTTTCTTTATTGTAAAATTGTGGACTTTTAAAACCTGTTGACTAAACAGTAATTAATTTATATTTGTGAAAAATGCCACTGTCTTAGTGATTTCTGATGTAAATAATGTTGTTTATATAGTATGTATTAAATTTTCCTACATTGTAAAACTGCTGTACTTTTGATTCTTGTATATTAAAAAGTGTTACTAAGGATTTTTAGAATTGGGCGAACACGTTGCATTGCGGTGGGGCTCGTGATCGGCCGCCGTGTCGTTCAGATGGTTTGACAGCTTGTGAAGTGGAGCCTTTTAAAGTTGCGTTTCTTCCCCTACTCAGCGCCAGTCGTGTGGGGTCCAGGACCTTACACCAGGGGCTTCTAAGGTGTTCCCAGAGGAGCCATTGCTGCGGTTTAACAGTCCCCTGACCGAGCAGCTTCAAGCCCCTGCACTGGATGGAGGTGACCTGGAGGAGCCGCTGCCCGCAGCTGAGCAGGGCTGCCCGTGGTTTCCCACGCCGGTGGGAGGACCTCGAGAGCCCCGCGAGGTGCCTCGAAGACCCGTGCGCATCCCCGCCAAGGTCCTGCGGCCCCCTCTGCCCATCGGAAATAAAAACACCGTGTCTGCCAGCCTGCAGCCTTGAGGGTAATTTAACAGTTGGGTCGTATATTCTTGAAGGGGGAAAAAGCATTTTATAATGGAAACACTGACCCAAATGTTAACTCTAGCAGTTTGGCAGGGGCAGGCGCAGCGCCTCGCAAGGCGCAGACAGAGGAAGCGCGGCTCGGCCTGCGGGCGGAGATCGTCTGGATAGGAGCTGGAGAAGGCGGCCAGCCCAAGGGGCTCTACTGATGCCTAAGCGACTGTGAAACCGTCCTGCAATCTCTGCGAAGCTCCTAATGCTCGATACCCAGTAAAGCCGAGTGTCCCGGAGGCCTGGCTGCAGGGGCCCGGCCCGGGCGTGAGGGCGAGCCTGCCGTTGCCACTGCACGTGCTGAAGTCAAAGACTCAGAAGAGTCAGTGGAGGCTTCTTCATGGGACAAACTCAGCAATCGTGTTGCAATTCACAAGTCAGCTGGAACGGCCCTGGGAAACTTTAAGAGCAAGTGTTGCAATAATCAGCTCGCTCTGGTTTACGATAGCACCGAGGCTGCTCAACTGTCCGCTGCCAAAACGCCTGCCTTTTACTGGAAGAAGCAGGCCCAGGTCCCCTTCCTCCTCCCTGGCGGGGCCTCACATGTCTGGCATCAAGGCAAGTCCTCAATTAATGCCAACAGAAAGGTCACTTATTGAAACACAAGGCTTTGCAGTTTGCCAGAGCAGTCTGGGCTCCAGGTTCCAACCTGTGGCTCTTAAAGGCATAGGACAAAGCCACAGAGGCTTTGACCAAAACCCCCGACCAGCCATCTTTATCCTGTAGGAACCTGGGCCCTGGCCGTGCCTGTCCCACTGCTGCTGGTGGACCCTACCCTAGGCTGAATGTCGGGATGTCCTGCATAGTTCTGTGGCTCTGTGACCTGGCTTTGTGTGGAAACATGGACAAGCCTGTGTCACCTCAAAGACAGAATAATACCCACTTCTTAGGGCCAGCTGCTCCGTGGAGGGTTCGCACATGATAATCTTTTCTTCCTGACTTGAGGGGATTGTGGTTTCAAAGCGCAGTCGTGGCCGACCTGTGCACAATTGGGGCCTGAAGGAGCTGGGTAGGAAGGTCATTGGGGCCTGAAGGAGCTGGGTAGGAAGGTCAGCGTGTTGTCTTCATTTGGTCTGGCCCTGTGCTTGGCTGGACCAGGGGCTTTGTCATTTGCAAACAAAGGAGGCAGCTTCTAGGATTAACGTTTTTAAGAGAGGTAGCACAGCAGAGGGCCACAGTGGGCCTCAGTCCTTGGCTAGGCTGGGCTCGTGTCGAGAGGGGACTGGCGGCCCTGGAGACTGGGCTTGTGGCATTGTGCCAGCACCCTTCACCGGAGCTAGAGAGACCATCAGAGCTGCTGTGTCAAGCCCAGCTCCCCGATGGGCCCAGGAAGAGGGCTGGCTCCAGGGGAGCACAAACCCCAAGGGGGTGGCCCAGCCTTCACTGGGACCGTCTGAGCTTGGGGACGAGAGACGAGCTCCTTCAAGGAGCTCGCAGTCTTACAGGGCAGGTACAGCTGAGACTGGACAGTTATGGCAGAGAAGGTTTTCCTCTTGACCAAGATCTCGCGCCTCTGCTGTTGGGCCAGACCCTGCTGTAGGAGCTGGCGACACATGACAAACCAGGGTGAGGCCCTGTGTGGCCTCTGAGCCGAAGGTGGGGGAGACGGACCCGAGATGAGCAAACAAGAAGACAAAATGTCAGTTGAGAACAGAGCCAGGCAACAAGGCGGCCAGGGTGCTGGTGGCAGAGCTCCGTGGTGTGGGTGGGTGGGGAGGCACA